CAGTTATTTCCATTTGCTTTTATGTATGTATATTACTGGATGAGCCAAGTCACCATTTCTTCTTCTTGTTGGCTGCCGGATAGTGACAATTTTATACACGATTGATTGTTTTTAGCGGTAAAATAGAAATGATAAATATAATCCAGATGACTCAGAAAATCTTGATGAACTATTAAACTTGTTGATTGTAGGAAGAGCAGACTGTGATAGCTTCCTTTCCTTTTGTGATTCCCTCCCTCTACTATTAAGGGTTATGCAGTGAAATCATACTATTGTTTGTTGTCTAGTTGCTACCAAGTGTTTGTTTGCCAAAAATCCTGCGTTTTGTATTCTGTATTTTCTCCTTTGGATTCAGCAAGAATGATTCATGTGAGGCATCATTTATTGGATAAGTATACCACTGCAATTTCTTTTTCTTCTCCTTTCTTCGTTATGTAAAAGAAATACTCTTTCACATTTAAGGAGATAATTTTGAGGCTTTCATTTCTAAATATTGAAGCTGGATACAGTGAGAGCTAGAGGAGAAGTACTGATAATCCAGCTGGTCTGTAAAGTGTGGTGCTTCTTTGTCACTTAGAATTAGAATGCAACTGTCTTTGAAAGAAAGAAAAAAAAGTAATTTCAACTGACAATATGCATTGCTGGGCAGGCGCTATTTGCGCCACATTTTAAACATATTTTGTGATGTATAGTTGATGTGTCAATGACTGAACAGCATGTTTGTCTTGTTGTTTCTTTGCTCTATTGTTTTGATCCCATTTCACCATTTTTACTGTGTTTTCCTGTGTGTGTGCAAGAATCTGAATTTCTTATAATACAATCTGATAGAGCAACAGAATATATCTTTTGTCTGTATTTGTTAGTGTGGTTTGTGTTTCTGTTGCCTGTGCATGAACTTATTAATTTGTTTCTTCAATATTTCACTGCAAGCATTTTTTTCCCTAATTTGTGAACTTTAATTTGTTTAGTTTGAAAGAGGTTAGATATTATCATCTTATAAGTGGCAACACCTCAATTGTCCTTCTTTACATACATTACTCTAGCAAAAAGTCATCTTTTTAAAGCACTTTTTAAACAGAATTTATTTTACAAAGCTATGATGATCTTTTCTTCTTGAAATTGACAAAACTAATAGTGCTGTATGGTATATAATCCCGTAGGATTTTTATGCCAAAGTTTTTTTTTTGTTTTTTTGTTGTTGCTGTTTTGACTTCATAAGGGTCCCAATTGGCCAAAAATGATGGGGTTCAAATTTTCAGACCCCTCCCTCATTTCCTGGGGGGTCCAAAATGGCTTATATAAAATTTGACCCCAATGAATAAAAAAAATGCAAATAAAAATCAACTTTGGCACGAAAATCTTATGGGAGCTGTTCAGTGACATACCGTACCACACTATAAGGCTCTTCCTGCAAAATCATTCAAACAATTTTAAAGAGCTATGGTCTCTAAGAGAGAGAGGGGTGAGAATTTTTATGCTGGCAATAGTTCAGAAAATGGTTGTGCATTGTTGGAGTTGTTGACAATGGACCGCAAATCGGCTTACTCTATGTTAGCAGCTAGCAGCTCTTCATTCGTTTTATATTGAAAATTATAAAAAGTAATGTGTGAATTTGTTTTCAATATGTCAAGGGCAATAGTATGATGGAAAACAAATTTAGGTATAAGCAGAGGGCAAAAAAACAGAAAAGAGGGGTTCGTTTGCCACTACATCACAAACTAAGCTCAAACTTTTAAATCACAATACACAATATTTCAGAGGTGTTTATTAAAATTTGTAGCAGTTGCCCCTAAATCGGAGAGGGCTTCAAAAAAAACGGCCATTTTGATGGAAAATAGTACTTTGTACATGATATTGGAAGAAAACCTTGAACCAGCTTGGTGTCATATGAAAGAATTAGATTATCTACATTTTGATACCAACTTTAATGGAATTTTAATGTAATTGGGATCGATTAACATCACAGATTTAAGAAACATGATTATTTTGTCAAAAACATTATTTTCAGTTCCTTTCCAGGAATATGCCCAGGCACAAGGACAATATCTTGTTTAAAAGAGAGGCCTTTACCTCTTTTCAGTAAAAAGTTATAGCAATTCAAAGTCAATTACCATCATTTTTGCTTAACAGTAAACTTTCAAAATGAATTTAAACACGTACGCCACGGGGCCCCATCGGTAAATAAACAGAAGTTGGGCAAAGCCAGCTCAACGCGAAGGGCAGGCGCCGTCTGAGTTTCTGTTGATACCCGCCCGACACCCGGCTCTGCCTGGTGTCCACACCTCAGGTACATATACCGTAGGACATTACTAAGCACTGACAAGACAGTTTCTCTAGTATCAAGAATATTGAAAGTTTCTCAAAATGCAGGGCATACATTTATCCCAGGGAAAAATTCCTGAGTTGCAGGAGCAGAACTACACAGCACTTTTTTTTTTCATGAGAGAGAATAAATTCACTTCCTATCTGGAAGTGAGCATACAAGAATCTTTCCACATTCCACATTCCACACACAAAATCACATTATGACAAACGCATACTGCACAGCTGTATATGATACATCTACATATTTTAATATTTACAAATAATTATATATCTGGTTGCCTTTTTAATACATGATCACAGAATTTTATCAATACATCATGGATATGTCACGTACACGCACCTCAAAATTCAAACGCATAGATTGATAAGAAAACCTACATCATATCTTGGAAGTAATCGACACAGCCGACTGATTTTAAAGTGTATGAAAAACAGAACTTGGAAAGAAATATGCAACTATAAACTTCAGACCTGGGATAATTTTATCCTCAAAATTGATGACCCCTTCCTCTTAAGAACACTTGTACGTATTGATATAGATTTAAATATAAGGCAAGTGAAATAGGATTTCATAACTCACTTTTATTTTACTAGCTAATATGCTGGAAATTACTTTCATTACACCAAAATTGTAATATAGAATGATCTGAATTTGTCTCTCTATTTTAAATCCAACATTATCTCAAAAAGCTAAAATTTCAGATATGGTGTGTAAAAATATTTATTGATACATGAATACAAAATGGATGAAAATGGATGCACGTCATACCACTTTTACTTTAAATGACCTTGCTCTATTTAATTTTCTTTCTGGTATATTGCCTTTTAAAAGATATCTTTAATTTACATACTGCATTTTAATTTTGAATATCTGCAAACTTTTGAATCTCCTTCCTTGTACAAACAGCATACAGTTAACTCTGCATAACTTGGAAGTCACATAACTACTATGCAAAACGTGTTATTTAAACTTCCAAAGTAGAATTTTGCACAAGTCAAACTATTTCATGCAGTCTCAACAAATTTGACTTATCCAGAGTTGACTGTATATGATATGTATACTTTAATACAGATAAAACACAAAGCCTTTATTGTGTGCCTGGCAGAAATTATTTAGTTATCCCCCCAAAAAATATGAATCAACACAAAATACCTATTTATCCATATTTAAAAAATTATAATGACTACCGACTTGTAGCTTTCTATAAAACTGTCCATTATTATGATTAATAGTATATCCAATTACAAGTTCATTGCTTTTTTAACAACAACAAAATATTTGGAGAAAAAACAATCAAAGTTTTGGCTCATAACTGTCATAAAAATCATCCACAAACCTATAGAATGTGATATCATCTTGTAGGAAATGTAATACTCTTTTATTGGCATGCCACACATGGTAAAATGAGGTTCTGTTCAAAAGTTTTTTTAAAAATAAAAAATTTAATATCTGAAATAGTTCAACACAAGTTATAAATGGTAGCCTTTTTGAAAAGCGATCACAATTTTTTTAAGCAGCATGTTTTCAAGGTAGTCCACCTAAAAATAGTGCTGGAAGGTCCCCTGAACGACCTTTTACAATATCCCATGTCACAAAACACCCAAAATTGCACAAAACATAAGGTACACTGAACCAAAGTCCAACTTGGGATATGTGCGTGCCCTATATGCAGGGTTTTATGTTATCCTTTATTTACTTCATCCATCACCGTTTACCTACAGAATGCCAGGTAAAGTATATTGAGCTTGATTTTATACATACTGCCTACACACAAATTTGTTCTTCTCTTCAGGTGATTGGTACACTTTTAATGCACATCTTCCATGGGGAAATGGTGCAACATTCATTGCATTCTTTATCACTATTTTATGATTAATTATGACCAGTTCATCATTATGAAAACTGGATTAATGACATGTATAATGGTTATGAAAAGATTTAGCACACAAAACTCCCATTGAGCTAGAGCCTTTGCTCTCCAGTGGATCTAGTTTGCCCTTTAATACAAGGTGTATTGAGTTCATATGATTTAGTGACAACTGGATATAATTTTAGGTCAATGACCTGATGAGGAAAGCATAGTTTGAAAGCTAGACAAAAACAATGACTATTATTATCCGTTCCAGGCATTTTGATAACAAAATAATACCATGTACTTTGCTTGTTTTACTCTTTCGCTTCTTAAGTGGGCAATAATCATTACACATCACTGCTTTGGGAAAATTACATTTTTCTAATAGGCCACTGTAGCTTATAATTTTATGTTATAGTATACAAATAATGAACGGTTATGAGTTCAATAGTGCGAATATTTTCATGAGTTGAAAGATTAACATTCTATTCAACGAGGCGTCAGCCGAGTTGAATAGAATTAACGTTAATCTTTCAACAAATGAAAATATTTGCACCATTGAATGAATGAAAACATTCATTATTTGTTTTATACGACATCGAAGAAGATCTAATAGAACGTTAATCAACAAATTATGCTTTACTCCTTATATTAAAGATAAATTAAAGTTGGAGTCAAGCCTTCTCGATTACATTCGCGCCAGATACACGCAGGGATCCGCGCGCACATGGCTGAGAGGTACGCAGTCTGCATGTAACCAAAAATGCACGCCGCATATAACCAAAAATGCACGACCGTGCAATATAAAATCTATTGAATATCATGTGACTAACAATCCTCCAATCAAATGACAAGAATCCACGTAGGTGTTGTATAGTGGTAGTTATTTTACCTGACAGCTAAGAAAGCAATGAATGCTTATAATCATATATCTAGTACACAGTACTACTTTGGACCTGACACCAAATTATTTTTTAAAATATAATTATATTGAAGTATTACTTGATGATAAATGAAGCACCCACCACTACAAATTCAAACAAACAGAGACTATTTCTCGACAACAAAAAGCCCCCCCCCCCCCTCCCCAAGAAGATAAGGAGAGGCATTACATCCTGAATACACCAAATGGTGTATCTGTTACTTTGGCATTGAGTGCAGCACTCAGACTCAGAGCTAGGACCTTCCTAGTGTCTGCTGGATCTATGACACCATCATCCCACAATCTGAACAAAAGAAACAAACCAAAAACATGATGGAGTCATATTTAAAAGCGACATCATCCTATAGTTAAGAAATACTTTGAATACAATCTTCCATATATAATAAATGTGAAATTGAAAGGACTTTTGCCCATGTCATAATAAATATGACTTTTCTATGATGTAGTAATAGTATGTGAGAAAATGTGAAAATCTCTTCTTTTTGTGTGTGTGTGGTGCTTTTCATTGCTTTTCAACAAGTGTCCTTTATTAATGAAGGTAAGCAGTAGGTACCTTTCTAATTCTTAAAGCTTTAACATTGAAATGCATGTACTTTTCAAGGAAAAATATCCATTGCTACCTTTTCTTTCAGTACATAAGCAGTGCTGACATTTTCAAGTATAAGGGGGGGGGGGGGGGTGGTAGAGAAAACAGGAGAAGTAGTTTTTGTTTTGGGTCATTTTAATCAAAATCAAAATATTATCAACAATCAACAAAATATTCAAAAGTTAATATAGAGCTGCTACTCAAGGCCTTTTCAATCTTTTAGTGGTGTGGTGTAATTCTTGGAATATTCATTGCTAGAGCACATTCAACTTCTTTCCAAGGCAAGAAAATACATCACAATATCATTCAATTACATATTGAAATGTCTCTGAAAGTGTAGATGGAGAATAAAGTGAGTTACCTGGCGCTTGAATAGTAAGGGCTTCCTTCCTTCTCATACTTGGCCAAGATTGGAGCCATGATGGATTCCTCCTCCTCTTTAGACAGCTGATATCAGCATAAATGAATGAGAAAGAATTTAGATGTGAAGGACAGACTTGAAGGTTGTTCTATGTTTTGAGATTAAGGTTGGCTGGTTTTAGCCAAGAATCCAGCTACAAGAAAACATGCATCCTGAAGTACTTCATTCATCATTACATCGTCTTGGTTTAAAGCTACTGACCACATTAAAACTTGAAACTGTCCCACTGTAAAACCAGGAAATTTTGAATGCATGAAGTGTTAAAGGTACTATGTCCCTTTTGCAGTTAACCTCAAATTCTGTAGAACTTTGCAGGAATTATGAATATGTCATGTATGTCCTATCTGTGAAATTTAAACGTTAGCAGTGTCCTCATATTCAAATTATGCAAGGAAACCCGTTTACTTGCTAGACTTCACAGTCAGACACTACTGAGTGACTGACTTGCTTTTTTTCTTCTTTGGTAATAACATACATAAAAGAGTTGGAAAGGGTACATGAGCATTTGTCTACATCAATAACCCACTTTTTGTGATGGCCAAGATTAAACTGATTGAATCTTTGCGCAGCATAAAACGTATGACCATCCGGTACAATTGTCTGAAAATCAAGACTATTACTTTTGGGCTCTATAGCCCTAAAGTCGATTTGACAACAAATAGTCGTTATTTTCCCACTTGAAGACATTTTCAAGTCCCATCTTTTGGAATTTAACTTTTTCATTTTTTTGGCCTGCAAATGGGACATAGTACCTTTAATGAGCTTTGCCACAATTAAGCTGAAATACATTGTTGAGATTTGCAAAGTTTCTTGCCATCTAAATAGCTGTAGTTACTATTTGCTCAAGTTTAATGTAGCAAAATTGTCTGTTTTACAGTACATATAAATGCAAATAAAAGTTTGAATTCATTTTACAGTCAACAAATAATTATTGCTGTTTCACTTTCATTTGGTATACTCCTGTTAAGACTTTGATCTCAATATGTCACATTGCATTAGGCCTAAAATAAAAACTTGTTGTATTGACTATTGCCCTTTGCGACCGACCCAAAAATTTGAAAATCTCAGTCGGCATTTTAAAAAAGTTTTTTTTTTAAAACCGTTTTTTAGATTTTTTTTTTATTAATGAATAAAAAAATTGTATTTTGTTTGTTTAAATGGGATATAAATGCATAAAATCAAACTATTCCAAAATTCTCACTTGTGCAAACCATGGATAATTATGAGGTGAAAAAGATATCTATGGAATGATGACATTGTAACACATGTATTAAAGCATTAAAAACTGAGAAATATCAGCCAAAAGAGGGCGGGGAAAAAAACAGAAAAAAAACAACATTCAAATCTGAAAAATATCGGCCCAAAGAGGGCGACAAAAAAAAATTTAAAAAAAAAAAAATTACGGCCGACTGACCCATGTTTTGGCACCCAGGCCTTCTTTCCCGGTTGACTTAACATTCACGCAATTGGAAGTAACTTATAAAAGATTGAAAATATGAGGAAATTAATCATATAACTCCATTTAAAATTAGAAATTGATTTCTAATTCATACCTTCCTTTGAATTAACTAATTGTATAAATTCCTTTAAATGGCCTTACCTCTAAACCTTCCCTCTTCTTTTGTGCAGCCATAACTTGAGATAAAACCAGAGCTGCTTGCTTTCCTCCCATCACAGAGATCCTAGCATTAGGCCACATGTACAGGAACCGAGGACTATATACACACACAAAACATACACAAAATTTATTATGTAAAAATAGGCCACAAAATGCAGATACATGTATATCCCTCAAAACAATACCAATTTAATTATACAGTGCGTCCCAGAAAAAACAGAACCCCAAAACAATAAGTAATTGCGAGAAAACGATGAGCTGTAAAAGGATAACGTCTTGCTTTTCAAAACAGCACCAGGGTCATCGACAGTATCACATGTGAACATGTTAGGAAAATGTAAGCTTCAAAGACGATTCTTCAAGATTTCCATTGGTTAATGATGTGCATTTACATAAGTTGTTACTAAAAATTGGGGTGAATATTCATAGGCGTACAACCTCAGATATTCCTGAAATCTATAAATATCCCTCAAGCAATGAAAAATACCCCTATTACTGATTGACAATGATACAAACATGTATCCTGATAAAAAAAAAATTATATATTGTGAAGATTTATTTTCTGCCTTATGTGCCCATTGGACCATTCCTTTCCCTGATTATCAAAATGGAAGGTACCCCTTACTTTGATTCCTATGAAAATATCACTAGACTGTCTGCTTTGGTCTTTCAAAGTTACAATTCTGAACTAGAAGAAACAAAATTGACTGCGCAGTTGAAAATATGCCTCCGCCTGCAACAAAATTAACCAACAGATTAAAGGTAGTAGCCCTCATTTGCAGACCCTCCCTTATTTATTTTGGCACATTAAAATTAACCGGTGACCATTTTGAACCCAAAATGTAATCAGTTAAGACAGCCCTTAAATTTCAATATTTTTAGGGCAAGGCCACTTTTCTGAAGGGCACATTCCTATATTACAGCACAAATAGGAAGAATTGGAAAGGGCACAAAAAATCTCCAAGGCCAATGAGAGGGGCCATGGCCTTGGTGGCCTTGGATTAATTTAAGCCCTGGATTTAATCTATACATGGTCATAGAAATAGATTACTTGATTAAGTTTCATTACAATAGCACAATTTGTCAAGTTATCACGTTCACAAGAATAATTATGAACGCATGGACCGAAACAGGGACAGATACCCCTAATACATAATGCCTCCGGTACTCAGTATGTGTCACGGAGGCATTTAATATACTAAATCATTGTTCACAATTATTGCAGACACATTTAAGTGCAAAATATGCCCTTAAACCCTAACCATAGACAATATCTCCTCTATCCTTAATTTCCATATGATGGCATAGAAGGAAGGTTTACCTGTAAGCTCTGCCACACATGCCGTAGTTTCCTGCCCCAAACGAACCTCCAACAATGACTGTAATCTTGGGTACCTTAGCACAGGCTACAGCTGTAACCATCTTAGCCCCGTTCTTAGCTATCCCTCCAGCTTCAGCTTCTCTTCCAACCATAAAACCTGTCAAACACACATTATTCATTAATCAATTCAAACAGACATTTAGTACATTATGTTATCTATAGCCAGCATTGTACAAATAATACCAAATCAAAAGGAGCAGTGTGTGATTTAGCACTTAGAAAAGATATCATGTCCTTTGGCAAGATATTCAACTACATTTGCCACTCTCCACCCAGGTGTAGTAAATGGGTACCCGATAGGAAGAAATTCCTTGAATGCTTGAGTGCCTTATCATGGTAGCTCGGCTAAAGTCGGAGTGAGGGGTCTGACTGAGTAATGCAAACAAAAAGTTAAGTCTTTTCATTAAATGAGGTTCCTTTTGGCCTTCTTGATATCATTTTGACAACAGAACATATGAATCTGTCTATCCAAGTCAATCCAATCTAAAATGAATTTGATAGAGCGCCTTTTCCTTGCACAAAGCAAAAACACACATTGCTCCACACCTTCGATCATTGAGTTTGCAGGCAGTTCTACTCATTTTTCTCTTGAATGTACAGTTCAAGGCAAGTCCAGGACATTCTGTCCTATACATTGTTGACTCAATCCAAGATTTGAGAGTACATGATAATTGTAGTATGCTGGTATAAAACAGGTCCTACTAATTATCACGAAAATGCTGCTCTCAATGTTGGTAAAGTTCACCATTCTATTCAATTTTCAAAAGAATGGGACACAAAATGTCTACATGATTTAGAACTGGCCATTAGTACTTGTATGACATGTGACCTACGTACCTGTGATGTTTTGAAGGAATAGGAGAGGGATCTTTCTCTGACAGCAGATTTCAATGAAATGTGTTGCTTTGAGGGCGCTTGATGAATACAGTACTCCATTGTTTCCAAGAATACCAACTGGATAGCCATGGATGTGAGCAAAACCTTACAAAGAAAATAATCAAAAATTAAGTAATCAATGACTTTCAAAGTTTTGTTATTCTAGATATTTTGTCGGGGAACACACAGCTAGGTTTTTAATTAATAATAACAATACACTGGCTGGCTTGTTGTGTGCATTATAACCAACACGAAAAAGCCAACAAAAGCCAACAAAAGCCAACATCGCCATTGGCTGGAATAAAACGTATAAGGAGCTATCTCATTTTTTCAACGGCTGGTTCAAATTATCGAATATTTGTGGGGCACCACAAATATTAGAAATCGTTATATTTATGGATATTTCAGCCGTCTTTGAACCGATTTTGTTCAAACAAAGATGATTTTGTCATTTCATTTTTGTATTCTTTCAAATTTGACACTCGGGTTTTCATTATCTCACAAAAATTTATTTTGTGTAGCGCCCTCTGCAACAAAACTCAACTATCCCTTTAAACCCCCTTTCTTTACACTGAACAGTCTACTTTAATTTCAGAACTTCTTTCCAAATAAAACATATCGACAAAGTTTTTTGAAAAAATAAATTCTCATGCAACTCTTGTAAAGACAAGTTTTGGGGTTTAATTTCTTCAAAGGAACTTTTTTTTTTTTACTCTACCGGTACTCATTTGTGGATTTAATACAGCTTTCTTTTCCACTTTAAATTTTAACAAGACACCTGCCTGAAATAGATAATAGGAGTATATACATATATACATATACATTTAACACAAACAAAACAAAAATATATTCATTTCTATAATAACTACCTGTCACTATGGTGTCTCCATACAGCTGCTTAAACTCATCAAAGACACTCTCATCTACTACTCTCGCTATGACTTCTCTGATGTCATAAACTTTACTGAAATCTACGGATGCAATTCCATACAACTCATCAGCAGAGTACAATGGGTCTTTGGGCTTCAACACTGGTATCTGCATTGAGAAATACACAACATATTAAACAGACATTATTGACTGGGTAGACAAACCTACAGCTCAGAAAGTAACCTAATCACTACTGATTACTGCCATGTCCACAAGGTTTACCAGATGTAATTTAATCTCTCTGGCTGAAACCTTTTAAAATCAGGTTTCAGATGATAATTCTTTCAGTTTTGAAAAGGAATTTCACCATGCCTTAAAGACCGTTTAAAGGCTATCTCATTAACTCAGCTCTCAACTAACATAAGAAAAAGAGGATCATGGCGACCAACAGGGGAAGTTTTCTATACTCTGTCTCTCTCTCTCTCTCTCTCTCTCCTCTCTCTCTCTCTCTCTTTCTCTCCCTCACACTCCCTTCTCTTCTCCCCTTCTCTCCCCACTCCCTCTCCCTCAACATTCCTTTCCTTCTCTCCTTATCTCCCCGCTCTATGCTTTATTTCTTTCTTCCCTTTATGAGTTTAATTGAGGTTTTTGTCTTTGAATTATTGTTAAATAACGAATTGTAAATATGTTTTTTATTTTTTTCAAATAAAATCTCTGTAAATCATGCATTCAATTCAGCCATTGGCTGCGATATGTTGATGAATAAATACCATACCTCACCTTACCATACAGTGCGTCCCAGAAAAAACGAAACCGAAAATCATTGATGTTTTATCATAACTTAATTACAATTATAATTAATAAATGACACATATTTGGAAAGCTTAGATCCTCCTCTTTCATTTGATGTAACTCATATAATGCTTATTTCACGCATGAGTGATTAAAAGCAATTTGAAGAGAGGAAACCAAAAAGTCATTTGGCGGGCGGTATATAAATTTTAAAGGGAAAATTACATTTCGAGAAAGTTCAATTTCTCCCCTTTCATATGACACCTCAATCAGGAAAAATGAGCGAGGAAAGTTCTGTTTGTTTAAAGTAATGCTTGCATTCCCATAATTTGATCAAACGGGTTCGTTTTTACTGACTTCTTGCCGTTGCAACGAACAGAGTTGACAAAAGACTTAACTCCGTTTCGTTGACGATCAGCCATGCACAAAGAAGACGAAAGACCTGATGCATGGCTGATCTTCAACAAAATGGAGTTAAGTCCTTTGTCAACTCTGTTTGATGCTACGGCAGGCAGCCAGTGAAAAAGAACTTGTTTGATCAAATTATGGAAATGCAAGCAGTTTTTTTAAACAAACAGAACTTTGTTATTCCTGGCTCATTTTTCCCGATTGAGGTGTCATATGAAAGGGCAGAAATTGAACTTTCTAGAAATTTGATTTTCTCCTTGAAATTCAGATACCGCCCGCCAAATGACTTTTTGGTTTCCTCTCTACAAATTGCTTTTAATCACTCATGCATGAAATATGCTAAAACATCGATAGTTCTCGGTTTCGTTTTTTCTGGGACGCACTGTATAGAGAAAGCAAGTAGCTACAAGTAGGACAGTGGGGCTTTAAAGGCCAAGTCCACTCCAATTTTCAAAAATTATAGCATGTTGTAAATAAATCAAAGGTTAAAAATGCCAAATACCACGGGCGAACTTCAATCAGGTGTTTTTAAGAGCGATTTTTGTTACGGTTATAACGAGCACGGCATTTAAATTTGCCGCACGGATGTCAGATCATTGACCATGTGATGGGGCGTATGCTCCTCACAACGAAAGCGAACGCAGCGCCAGCAGTATACATTATGACGATGCAAGATGCCGATGTGCCTGGTCTACGGTTGTTCAATTCGGCCAGGGGATGGTTAAACAATATTGGGACTGACCAGTTCAACATACAAACGTACAAATTCTGCAAAAACAGAGTGGTATGTGAGGAATTGAACACAACACTTTTGAATGCGCAATGCGCTGTATACAGAAACAGACTAGTATAGTATTTGAGTCACAGACATCTGTGTGAGGACCCTACGTCACAAAAATTGTCGCACAATGTATTGTGGGGGAAAACCGGCTCGATCATTAACTTGTTTTTTGCTCATTAAAAAAAATCATTAAAAATAAGTCTGAGCACTATTTTCCAAAACCCAGTTATATTTGGGCTTCTTAGATTTCTGTCTATCTAATCAGCTCAACTTTTTAGTGGAGTGGACTTGGTCTTTAATGACATAAATTATGTATTCTGAATGCTGCATTACTTTACTTTATAGTTATAACCCCCATCCCCCCCCCCCCTACCCCACACACAAACATATTTTTAGCATCAAGAATAAGAATTACACTTGCTTGTTGGCATGACAACACTAGACTAATGATATTCACTCATGAGAATAAATGTTTGAATTAACTATCAAGTTCCTGTCGAAAACTGACCAGATTTTAAAACTGAAACATGGACGAGCTGAATTTTAAAAAGCACATTTTTTTTTTACAAGGAGCCTTCCCCATGCACAACTGAAACACAATGCAAGAGGTAGCATTGTTAGCAGAGATCAAAAAATCAACTCTACACAAAATGATTAAAAACCTTTATGGCTCCCAGCAGCAAATGTCAAAATCACCACATCGTTGCAAAACAAAGTTAAGATAAAAAGCTATTGAATACTTTTTGCACTGGCTTCTTAAAAACTGAAAAACTTTACAGGATAGTTTTGCAACATTATTTGTACACGTCACTCACATTGATTTCTTTTTTTCTATTCAAATTGGCCACAGCTCTCCTGGCTAGATAAAGTGCATGGTGCTCATCATTGGCAAAGTGGTCTGTAACACCTGATGACCTGTTCAGCAAAAAATAAGGCGAGAAATGCTACTTTTAAAGGAGAAGGCTGGCAAATATAAACTAACGTAACCTCATATAAAATATTGTAACTTAATATAAAATATTGTAACTTAATATAAAATACAACATAGCACGAGTTTAAGAATGTGTCTTCCATCAATTTATAACATCCTACTGTTGCAGGGTTTGTTGCAAGTCCATTTAGAATTTTAATTTCCTCCAACTGGAAATGATAAACAAATACCTGTTAAAGCCCCACTGCACTAGCTACTTGCGCCCTCTATATAGCCAACAATGCCTAAACGGTGACCGTTGGTCCCCCATGGTCTCCTTTTTCTTATGTCAATTGAGAGCTGATTTGATGAGATAACCACCTGTCAGGGACCATGCAGGGAGGTCTAATCCCTCCTGGCCAAAAAAGTGCAGAAGGCTTTAAATATCTCTAAATTTAATAGTAATTCATTGCCTTTTAGGAAGTTGTCTAAATCCTAAAGACAAACAGGATCGCATTGTATGTTTGTTATTATTAAGATCACCTAATGATTAAGTTGTATATATATCGTCTAACCTGCAGTGAAGATCAGCTCCACCCAGATCTTCAGATGATACTACCTCGCCAGTAGCAGCATGTACCTAGACATAAAGATAACCATCATTAATCATTATAAATGAGATGAGACGAGAGACATCCTAAAACAGTCCACATCAAGACAGAAACTGCCACCATCACAATGGTATAGAATATCCCCTGTTTAAACATTGTACCTGTATACACATTAAATGAATCCTTGAAAGATGGTCTTGCAGGAGTCCTATGTGAACTCACATCATCTGCTGGTTTACTGTGCTATACAACTGTAGATGTCAGTCCTGCGGTTTTGATTTAAAACTGACATACCTTTAACCCTTACTGTACTGGGCTATTTTGAGCACCTCACTGACTGGGGTGGGGGGCTGGGAGGCCCCCCCCCCCCCCCCCCCCTCCGTTGATTGTCCAATGAACACAAAAATTTGCATGTTTGTAATATTTACATAAGGAACAAGAGGAACAAAGTTTGTTCCTATTATGCAAATTGTTGTTGTTATAGCCTAATTAATTGTGCAAAATGCTAATTCTAAGCATTTTACAGAAAACTCTACTCTGTAGACTTGTGAAGAATCTTGAAAATGTATTGAGTAAAATTTCCTTCATCTCAAATTCATGAGGTTTTATTATTTTAATGATATTTGAAAATGTTTAGGTTAATTTGCATAAATTATGAATACACAAATTACGCATTCCTGAATATCAAATCTTGAAATATACGGGGAACTAGAATCATTAAAAAATTCTAATGTACCGTATTTGCCGGCAATAAGGCCGCAGCGCCGTATAGGCTGCCCCCCCCCCCCACGATTTTGACAATTTAAAAAAAATTAAAAAAAAAAAAAAATCTTTTGCCAAAGTCGGGATTCAATCTCTTGCGTACAAATGTTGATGTGACTAAAATCACCGCCTTAAACCTCTCGGCCATCCCGCACTGATACAATATTCTGCAGTTTTCTGTGATGTAGTCATTGAAATGGATTGAAAATGGCGACTTCGCGTGCTGGATGCTTCGCGGCGGCTACGGTAAACGGGCCCTTCTTTTACTTTTGCAATGTATATTGGCACGAACTTAGATCAAAATCTATCGGCAGATGTTGTTTATGGAAGTTTATTTTCGTCTTCATGCAAGATAAAATTGTCGGTAAGATGTGTGGAAATGTATAGTTATTGTAGATCTAGTCCAATATGTACAAATTCGTGCTGGTTTTGACCAGGCCGCACCCCGACTTTTTGATATTTTCTATTCCAAAATCTTGCAGCCTTTACGCCGGCAAATACGGTATTCTCTTGTTCTGGAATTCATCAAGTTACTTTGAGAAACATATAAAAGCAATTTGATATCAATTCATATCTCCCACTTAGGAAGAAATACATCTAAACCTGTATTCACATTTCTGCTTGTACATGAATATTTATAGCAATTTTAGCACTTTTTGATGACATGCGCATACTAATTGTTATGTAACACCTTACAGGTATATCCGATTTCGCCAAAAATGGTATCAAAATGTGCGTAAGACTTGAAGGAAAAAAGTCATGAAACGACAATTCAAAATTCCAAGCGGTTGCGGCACAATCTCTGAAAATGTCGAGGGGGGGCCTCCCAGGCCCCCCCCCCCCCCAGTACAGTAAGGGTTAATGAGGAAGTCCACCCTGAAGTGAAGTTAGTTTTTATAAAAGAAGAAAAAAATAAAAACAGATCATTGTTAGTTTCAGGAGAATCCGATAGACAATTACAGAATAATAAAGTTATAATGAATCAAAAATAAATTGGCAACTCTGTGATTTCCTTTTCAAGCATCTCTCCCACTTACTTTATACTAAATACTTTCATATATTTCCATTTCCATGGTTTCTGATGATAAATAAGATCTTTTCATGGAGGGGTGGGTAAAAACATGTATACAAAAATATATCTAGAGCTCAGATATACTAAAAAGGGGGAAACGCTCTATGCGATCTCTCCTGCATTACGCAATTCGATGTGATGACAAATTGAGGTTGGGACATTATCTATAATATAGGCAGGGTGGCCCATTAGCAGGCTCCCAAAAATGAAATCCTCTGAATATAATCAGCATTTTGAAGTATATATTGACTAAGAATCATCGGAAGAATTATTTACTTTAATTTGTACCAAGATTGATAAGCAAATAACAAAAATTGATTGATAAATTCTCATATTAAGTTGTGAAAGTATAATCCAAGTCTACTGACCTAAAATGACCTTTGACCTTGACTTTGTGACCTGGAATTTGTGTCATATGATTTGTGATACTTGATAACCCTTGGTTTAAGTTTCATGGAATTTGAACGAACACTTTTGAAATTATGCTAAAAATTCAAAATCTAGATGTTGATGCCACAACAAAGTCTAAGTTTGCAGACCTGAAATTACATTTGACCTTGACTTTGTCACCTAAAAGACTAATCACATGATTGGTGATACTTGATAACACTTATGTTCAAGTTTCATGGAATAGGAATGTATACTTTCCAAATTATGTTAACAATTCAAAATCTTAACCTTTGGTTAAGTTTTTAATGTTGATGTCACAGCATAGTCTAATTTTGTTGACCTGAAATGACCTTTGACCATACTTTAGTGACCTGAAGTTTTACTCACATGATTGGGGATACTTGATAACCCTTTAATCTAAGTGTTATTGAATAAGAACTTGCAAGACCATCTTTTTTAGAGAATCAAGAAATGTTGACTATTTTGTTGTTGTTTTTTGTTGTTATCCTACATTGTAGTTATAGATAATTTTTATATTGTTAAATTGGTATCATGTATTATGTACAGCATAATAATCAGTTTGCGAATGGAGTTTGCACTACTAAAGAGATACCATTGTAATGTTTCTCTTTAAAATGTATATCTTTGTAAGTCTAAGTTTGATTTATGATAGACTGAGTAAATAATGAATGATTCTTACAAGTGGAGGTCCACCTAGAAAGATAGTTCCCTGTTGTTTTACAATGATACTCTCATCTGCCATTGCTGGGACATATGCTCCACCTGCAGTACAGCTACCTAGAACTACGGCAATCTGTAACAGGAAAATAGTAATAGTCAATATCGTTTTTCATATCAAATGTGATGAACCTGCCATTTATTTTTTCATAACATATAAAATGTCAAAATATGTTGCTAAGATGGGTTATCTTTCTTATTTTACCAACTGATTTTTATCTCTCTAATGTTTGGCTATCAAAGTTAATATTTTATTGATTTGATGTTAATAATACGTCCACCAAGACCAAATAAAATAAAATAAATGCAAATGAAATAAGGCAGAATGGCAGAATACACATTATTTGTAGACACTCTTGCTTACATCAAGCATACTAATCTACATTTGAAAATGCAAACAGAAGTCTTGTAAAGGCAATTGATAGATTTATGCATTCAGCCCTTTACATAATATAATGGCACTGAATATGACAGGTTAAAAAAGGTGTACCCCAAAATCATATTGTAATGAAAGAGATTAACTGATAACTCAGTAAACCACGAGGTGACTAATATTGTGTACAAACCTGTGGTATTCCTGCAGCAGACATAGTTGCTTGGTTGAAGAAAATTCTACCAAAATGTTCCTTTCCTGGAAATACTTCATCCTGCCTGGGAAGATTAGCACCACCAGAGTCAACTGGGAAGGCAATACAACAAATATTTTAAGCACGTCACATTTTCTATGCAAAAAAAATAAATCACTTTGGTTGATTTCTACACAGAGGCCAGTTCAAGAAAAACCATAAATCTAGGAGACTAGACAACTTCTTTTTTAAAGCATTTTGGAGAAATCAAAGTAATGCGAATGATCAATTTAAAGATAAAGATGAGTTCTGGTCATGCGATTGCATTGTGAAAGAAAAGGTGTGGAATGGATCAGAAAAAGTTGATCATGTAGCATGTTAGTATTGGTGTGTACTGCAAGGTTCTGGAGACATCACAATCATAATAAATTTGGCCCAGTCTTGGTAAAGTAACAATCACTGTACACAGAAAAATGTATATGGGACTACACAAATGATGTCGGGGCTAGTACACCTTGATTTCCTTATAGCTATGCTCATTACTCAGCCAGTATACATTTTATAACAAAATTGTTTGGCAAATGACATTTATTTGTAATCTTGAACATTCAGTGTAAGTTTCGTTTGATTCTGTGAGAGTTTGTTTGTCTTTTTTTTTACCAGAAATCAAGTTTATCTTTAAGATTAATTTCCATAATATTCATAAGATTCATTTATATTTTTGCTTATAAGATGTTTCTTATCCCGACTCCAACTCAAACATTCCAACACTAGATCACATTGACCTTTTTTCATTTAATTTACTTTTAATCTTGAGTACAATATATGCTTCTGAATAGACAGATTGAGCCCGAGAAAGAAAAGCCTATTACATGTAATACACACTGCAAGTATTCATCAACCTTTAAGAAGGCCCAAGGCAAAATCGGTGTGCTATGTTCTATGAAAAGCATCAATCCTCAATTATCTGGTCTCTCAGAAGAAGAAGAATGACTCCAACATATACCGGTATATACTTGCTTTATTACCACTCAGATAAAAGAAAAAATTATCTTTGTGTCAGGCATTTATTCATGCTCAATTTGACAGTGAGCTTGGATTATACTGAAAGTCTATAATGGGCCCCTGGATTCTAGTATCTTCACACCCAGCAAAAATAGCATATAAGGCCACCAATTACTCACTCGATTGATCAATCAATCAATCAATCAATCAATCAATCATTCATTCATTCAATCATTCAACCCATCCATCCCTCCATCCATTAATTATTCAATCAATTATATTTACCAAGATAGATGCAGGGTAAATTATTTTCCTTGGCGATTTCCTGCGCTCTAAGATGTTTCTTGACTGTGATTGGATAGTAGGTACCTGCTTTTACCGTCGCATCATTGGCAACAATCATACATTCTGTCCTGTTGGAAAAAGAATGAAAATACTCCCTATGCTGACAAATTCATGAAACAACATGTGCAACAGTTTACTGTCACTGGATTGGTAAGGGCATACACTGAAGAATACAGTTAACAGATCAGTCACTTGAGCTTGTTTTAGTTTTAAAGGACATTCTGTAGTAAGGTTCATGGGTACCTTAGCTATGCAGGGCCAGCTGGTTATTTACAGGTATTCACCATGCACAATGCCTGGAGTTGCTGGTATTCTGTAACTCAACTCAGCTCTTCAACTCATAATTCTGTACAGAGTAATATTAATACATTTTTGAACTAAAACTCCAGAGGTGGTTTTATTAACGCTGTCTGCTCGTGTTCTACTGGTTTTACCATACTCATTTTCCCCAATGGAATGTAGTGTTATAAAAAACGTTAGGAAAACAACAAATGAAATTTTGATTTTAAATCATAAATATATTGATAATCAGACAGGCGATCAGCTTTTAAAAGTCATGGGATTCCTGACTGACATAAAGGTTTATAATTATCTTTGCAGCATCATATGACAAAACTACTCTAATATTCTTCACATAGAAACATAGAGAATAAGAAAGCCAACACATTAAATTTCATCTTTACCAGAACTCAACCTTCTCTTTGAATGTTATACCGTGTGAGTCAAAAAAAAGTTTACACTTAGAAAATTGCTAATTTAAAAAAAAAATCATCTATGAACAGTAAATTATTATACATCTTATGAAAGAGTGTTTTATCCCCAATCATTTGGTATCATTTTTGTGTGGTATGTGTTCACTCTTGTCGATTTTTGCACTCTCGCAAACAATGTTCATGTTCATCCAAGCATGAACACATACCACACAAAAATGATACCAAATGATTCGCGATAAATCACTGTTTCATAAGAAGTACATGTATAATAATTTACTGTTCATGGATGATTTTTAAATTAATTATCAACTTTCTTGGTGTAAACTTTTTTTTGACTCACATTGTACGATCTATAATACAATGAAATCAAACTATGTATCTACTGACTACATATCAAGGGGTCAGTGACACAAAGACGTAACTCCAATTTTGAGAAAGAGTGGTTTATGTGTCACTGAGCACTTGGGCCTTAAAGGCATGGTTTAAATCTGAGATACACGGCCCTACATGTCATCAGTGTCTGTGATATGGTGTAATATTGGAACCCTAAAGAGATTCCGCTTCAAAATGATCAAGAAGTGCCTCAAAAAAGTAAAAATCTTTGAGTGACCGTTTTTACCAAACTCGTTTTCCCCAATAGACTGGAGTGTTATGAAAACCGTTTGGCAAACGCAAAATTTGATTTTGATTTTCAATCATAAATATCTTGGTAATCAGCCATGCGATCATCTTGTAAAAGTCAAGGAGTTCCTGACTTATCTAAAGGTTTGTAATTATCATTGCAGCATGAGCTAAATCCAGGATTTTGTTGCAGAATCTGAGTTAACTAATCCCTTGTCTATGTTTCACTAGCCATTGACTTCAATGGGGTATTGGGTGGAGTTAAGTCTATGTGTTTCCTGGAAAGCCCACATTTTTCTGAACATTATGATATCAAATACTCATTTTGGCGAAATATAGAGTTACGTCTTTGTGTCACTGAACCCTCGATATACTTACCCTGAGACTCTACCAATACCAGTAACGATACCTCCTGCTGGTACCTCTTCATCACCATACAACTCATAGCCAGCTAATTGAGATAATTCCATGAATGGAGATCTGATAACAACAAACAGTCATGGGGTTAATCTGTTGGTGTTGGTTTTTTTTGGTCATTAAAACCTTAATGCATTAAAAAATGGTTGATGTACAATAGAGTCTAAGCTTTGGTGAAATATATTTATCCATTGGGTGCAAAAACGTTTGAAATAATACCATATACCCTCAATTTAAACTATATGGACAAAAATAGTTTAAGAAATTACATCAGTATTCGGGTTTAATAAGTTCATTTCACTTGCACAATTTTTCTGGGGAAAAAAGTTTTGCTTCAGCATGATTTCCTCATGGGCAACCTTTGTTCTTTCTTTTCTAATAAAAATCACTTTAATAAATTTCCAAAATGCAATTACCCTATAGTTCTATAAACTTTATTTGAAAAAAGAAAATCCTACCCTGGGTCTAGTAGAGTTGTAATTCTCTCTCTGACTAGCATCTTCCCCTGTGAAACATGTCGTGCTATTTTCTTCTCTCCTCCACCTTGTGCAATCTGGGATATGGTAGACTTCAGTTCAGCAATAAGTCCTTTCATCTGTTCATAATTCTCCTGCAAGAGCATGGAGTACACATCAAAAATTTGATTAATTGGTCTACAACAACTCCAAATGACAAAATAATTCCAGCTATGCATGTTTTTTTAGTATTTGATAGCCCAGAACTGATCGCACACCAGGTTTTGTGTGCTAAAACTCTTTCCATAGACATTAAACACATCCCTATGCAGTCTATGTGCATTACAAAATTGGTCAATGTTTTTAAAAGTAAATTTAGATTCAAACCTCTATCTGTTGTAATCCTGAAGGTGATACTCAATAAATGAGGTGTCATATGAATGGGCAGATTAATCCCCATATTTCCAAAGGGGGGTCATTTCAGATTTCTAAAAATGTCTTGTCAAAACAGTGATTTAAATGTTGTTTCCATGGCAACTCAGGAGATTTCCCACTTTTGAGAATCGACCCCCCGAGGGATAATTAGTTCAAGATGTAAGGAATATGTTGATGTTCTTTCTTTTTCGCTAGCCCCAAGGGATCACATACGATTTAAGTTTGAAAATACCCTTCCCACACTTTTTGCATATTGCCTAATGCATTTAGAATGCAGCTGTCTAGCAAAAAGTGATATCTCGGCGAGAACCACTTTTTTGTCCATTCTGACCAAAATGCTATGAATATTGCAGTTTTTGAGGGGCTGTATCTTTTGATAGAAACATCAGTGAGTCTTGAAATTTGAAATGTATTATTCTGATTACATTTTTTATTCAAATATCCAACAACAATGGTGAAAAACGATCCCAAATTCAAAAATCGTTCAGACACCCTACTAATAGTACGTGTGCGACCGATTCAAGACTGATGAGTGAATGTACTTTCGCGTGAAGTTTTAAACGTAATTGTGGACTTTGTCCGGGCAATTACACGCCCATCCCCTCGGGCCTGTCTAATTATGGACGTAATTTTGTGACATGAAATATGATTGTTTTAAGGCTCTTACGGACGGATAAGCGTAAAAGGAACCCCCAACTTTGGAGCTGGATATCTCCTATGACACTTTTGGAGTCGGCAGATGGGTGAGTTGTCTTAGTTTTAAAAAATACTTTCTTTTAAACTTGTTTTATTATAAATAAATGAGTAATTAAAAAGTTAGAATTTGGTATTGGCCTCCCTACTGTCCTGATTTAGGGGCCTAGATCTAGCCCTAGCCCAAGGAACAAATTCGCACGAGCCGTCCACTATCGGCAGAAGAACCCTTGTCTAGATGCTGAACAGGCTTTGACAAGTAGCAGAATAGAAGTATAAGTATAGTCCGGGGTTAGGCAAAATTTTGCCAGTGTGAAAACAGTATAGCTAAGCCTAACCAAGGCTATAAGGGCGCTTGTTCAGAAACCTATTCCAAAATTTCACCCGTAACTCTGGCGTGGAGATACCCTACTAAAACATACCCAAAATGAAGTAAATATTCATTAAATGTCCAAATAAAGATCATGAGTTAAAAGTCGTTGTTTATTACCTGTTTCGTGTCAATTTTATTTTTATTTTTGGAGTATTTTTCAGAAAAACAATGATATTAGTATACACTTTTTCGCAGGTTTCACTGCAAACCGCTACTTACAATAAAAGTGCATACCGATGGTGGGTTGCAGGGGCTCGTTCCTAGAAACCAACGTCAATAACATCAAAATATTACAAAAGTAATATTAGGGAAAATGCAATTATTTAAATGAATTAGTAATAAAAAAGATTGAAAATTTAACCAAGAAATAAGAGATGCAACATACTTCCAAATTTGTGTAGATTATACAATAGAAGTATTGGTAAAATATAATTGTGAGTATTTCATAACATGACCGGTGAATCAGTTTTGTTCTTGAGATGGGTACCCCCCGGATATTTTCATTTGATAGTTTATAAAAATACACCAATATATTATTCTTAGAAAAATACGATGTAAGGAAATTGTGTCCAATGTGTAATATGTGATCTTATACATTGAGAAAGTAAGGCAGTATCCAGACCAATTTGACAAAATTGGCAACTTCCCAGGAGAATATCATATTGTTCTTGATCAAGATGTTCAGCCTGTAGTCCATGCCCCTAGACGGTGCCCAATCCACCTATGAGATGAACTGAAGCGTGAGTTTAATGACATGAAAGATAATGGCGTGATCACTCAAGTCATTGAGCCTTCAGCATGGGTCAGCAGCATCGCTGTTTCAAGGAAGTCGAATGGCAAACTCCGGGTCTGCTTGGATCCCAAGGATCTCAACCGAGCTATTCGACGTTGCCATTATCGCACTATCACGACAGATGAGGTGATACACAAGCTATCAGGTGCTCGACACTTAGCAAACTCGATGCCAAGAATGGTTATTGGTCTATCAAGCTTGACCATGACAGTTCACTTCTAACTGCCTTCAATAGTCCTTTTGGACGGTACAGATATCTCAGAATGCCTTTCGGTCTAGCAATGTCTCAGGATGTATTCCAGCAGCGAATGGACGAAATCTTTGAAGGATGCCCCGGCACAATATGGATCGCTGACGATATTGTTGTGTTCGGCAAGAGTGAAGCAGAGCACGATCAGAATCTGAACCACCTCATGTCCAAAGCTGTGAAGTACGGTCTTCAGTTCAACAGTGGCAAGTGCAGCATAAAGGTCAACCAGATTTCCTTCTTCGGTATGATCTATGATGCAGATGGCATCCATCCTGATCCTCGCAAGGTAGAGGCAATCAAGTCAATGTCTCCACCTGAGAACAAGAGCCAGCTTTGTGGGTTCCTTGGTATGATAACTTCCCTTAGCCCATTCATACCAAATCTCTCAGCCCAGATTGCAAGCCTACGTGGTCTTTTGAAGCACCAGACTGCCTTCAATGTGACAAGGTATGTCATGATGCAACTTGGGCGTATTTCGATGTTAGCAAGCCTACGGTACTGCAGGTAGAGGCTTCTCTGCAGGACTTGGGAGCGACTCTCCTGCAGGATGGGAAGGGTATCGCATTTGCGTCAAAGGCCCTCAGTGATGCAGAGACGAGGTACGCCAACATAGAGCGAGAGCTGCTTGCAGTGGTCTTCGGCTGTGAACGATTCCACTTTTTCCTGTACGGGAAAAGTTTCACAATAGAGACGGACCACAAGCCCCTGGAGATGATCCAGCATAAGCACCTGCAGGTAGAGGCTTCCCATTCATTACGAAGTTGGTCAACAGGTCTTTTACTCTCGCTGTTTTTCCGGAGAACTTGAAGCATGCCACCATCAGGCCCTTACTAAAGAAGCCTAACCTGGATAAGGAGAGACTGGAAAACTACAGACCAGTAGCTTACTTGAAATTCATAGGAAAAGTGGTCGAGAGAGCAGCTGCTGCACGCATTCTTAGATGTGTAGCTGACCAGTCTCTTCAGGATCCTTTCCAATCAGCCTATAGAAAGAACCATTCAGTGGAGACAGCCGTCTTGCGAGTGAGTAATGACGTCTTACGGGCCATGGATAGGGGCATGCTGACAGGACTAGTTCTACTGGATTTGAGCTCAGCGTTTGACACGGTAGATCATCGTGTCTTACTACAGAGACTACAAGAAGTTGGTATCGGAGGCTCGGCTTTGAGTTGGTGTCAATCATACCTGGATGGTCGCACTCAGGCTGTTCGCATTGGTGAGAATGACTTCTCGGACCCAGTTTCTCTAAACTATTCTGTGCCTCAGGGTTCAGTGCTCGGTCCGCAACTGTTTTCTTTGTACATTTTACCGATTTGTGACATTATTAACAGGCATAATTTCATGTATCACATATACGCTGATGATATTCAGCTGTATATGTCGTGCCTGCCTAATCAAACTGATGTGGACAACACCCTTGCCAGATTTGAGTCATGCATAACAGAGATTTCCAAATGGATGGGGCAGAACTACTTAAGAATTAATCAGGCGAAGACCGAATTTATCTTCTTCGGTTCTTCTCAACAGATGAAGAAGGTCATTGTTCCCCATCTCACAGTTGGTGGGGCACGTGTTAGTCCGGCTTCCAAAGTACGCTCACTAGGTCTAACACTGGATTCCAACATGTCAATGGAACCCCAAATCTCTAGCTGCATCCGATCAGCATGTTATCACATCAGGCACATTCGTCGAATCCGGGTTTATCTGACTTCACATGCCACGAAGCAGGCAGTCCATGCACTTGTCACGTCACGATTGGACATGTACAATAGTACCCTGAATGGACTGCCCGACACTCTCATCAAACGACTGCAGAAGGTCCAAAATTCTGCGGCTCGGCTTGTCACCCGATCAAAGTTATCTGATCATATAACCCCCGTTCTCGAGGATCTGCACTGACTGCCTGTGAGGCAAAGACTCAAGTACAAGGTACTTTCCCTGGTTTTTAAAACAAAAACCAACCAGACACCATTATACTTGTCAGATCTACTGGAGGAGAAGAGATCCTCTAGACTTGGTCTACGTTCAGGAAATGTCCTTCATACATAAAACTAAGTAAAACAATTGACCTATTCCACAAGCATCTAAAGACCTACCTTATGAAGGAAAAATATGATTAACTCACATGAACATTTCAATGTCTTACTGAATCTGTAATTTGCATTTGTTTTTATTTGTTGATTTATTATTAGTTTGTTAATTTCAATTTGTTTATTGTTTGTATTTGAAATGTTAATAGTGAATCTTTTTTGTGCGCCTTGAGTGCCATTATAGGCAGATATGTGCGCTATACAAATCTTAAAGTATTACTATTATATTATTATAGCACCTAGCAGCAGCTCCACCAAGACTCCAGCGTATGCTCCTTCGTCTACAGCCATACAAGCTGACAATTGTCTACAAGCCTGGTAAGGATGTACCAGTAGCTGACTGCCTATCCAGACGTCCTCTTGGTTCTCAAGAACACATCCACCTTGACCTGCAAATCAACTTTGTACAGTTTGCTCCAGACCGTTTGAGTCAGTTGAAGGAGGAAACAGCAAAGGATGCAGAGTTTGCAGCACTACAGAAGGTGATTGTGAAAGGGTGGCCAGAGAAGAGACGTGAGCTACCACGGCAGCTGCAGAGATACTGGGCCTTTCGAGATCAACTTGCAGTTGAGGATGGACTGATCCTGAATGGTGAACAAATTCTTATTTCACACTCCATGAGGGAGTACATACTTCTCGTATGGTTTATGGTATCTTGCATGCGTGTAATACCATAAACCATACGAGAAGTCTGCATAATTTTGGACTGGTAGCTTCAGTTTGAGGTGCAGGACTACAGCGTAGAGACGGAACTGAGCGACGACGTTGACATCGAAGCCCTAAACGGAGGCTTCCCGATGTTGGATGTGATCCAAATAGGCACTTCAGTCACTGACAAATTTGCTCGGACAACTCTCACTGACTGCGCGATGCTCCCATGCGCCCATTCACATACACACAGATCTCTCTCAATGTGAATCCATTAGCATTGAGAACATCCGAGCTCTGGCGAAACTTACGACTAACTTTTGGAACCCGTCGGATATGAATGCTTGTCTTCTTGCTTTTGTACGATGATTTTGATTGGTCGAACACATAAATTATGACGTCAGTTTTGATCGTATATCTTCATTAAAGATCGTGACTTTGTTTGGTGGAAATCGCCTGTGCGGTTTGAAAGTTACGCGACATACAAGGAAGATTTTGCCAGCAACATTAACAAATATTTGTCTGAGCTCGCTCAAACTTTGTTGGTATAAAAGTATGATATCATACCATAATTGCTGAAAGTTTGACAATGTTCCAGTAAGTCAAAGCCATCGTTTGGTCACTTTTCCTAGCCATGTTTTGATATTTTTTTGGAGTGTAGGCAAGTTGTTGATCCTGTGTGTCGCCGTTTGCTTCGACGGATGCGAAGCTAGTCTGATCAATGTTACTGCAGACCCGCGATTGTACTTGGTGTTCGACTTATAAAACAGTGATAGCAATGTGATTTATTATTTATTATTGAAATGATCATCATTTATCTTAATTACAGTATTTATCATAACATGATAAAAAAATGTCAAATTGCCGAAGAGAAAATGTTTGTGTTAAAAATATGGCTGAAAATATAGGCTAGTTTGAAAGGTTGTTTTGAAATGAGGTTGTTTGTGGACTTGCACTTTAAAGAGTGAATGATTGATGGGCAGGGTTGTTGCACTTACGACATGTATTTATTTTTATCTTCATCTTCACTTATATTTTTAAATAACATTGTGGAACATGAATTAATAAGTTAAATTTTTTAAACTTATAGGCGGCAACGAAAATCTGTGATTTTTCATAATTAGTACTTTATTTCTTAATTATCTGTCAATGATTTATATTAGACAAATAACATTAATATTTTGTTATCATTCTTTATTTTCATCAGAGAACATCAACAAAATCAAAGTAAAGTAATCAAATCAAAGTAATCGGTGTGGCTTGTAATGTTTTTTTAAAACCTATAATTCATATTGAAAATGCTCATAATTATAACGATTCATATTCATAATCATATTTATAATCATATTCATAATACATTAATATAGCTGTCGAATTATAAAAATGAAATACAGCTACAGTTATATAAAGAATTATTGAAATGCGGTATTGGCTGTCCAAATTTTGACATATTTCTTTGTTATATTTTATTAATTATGAATATATTATTTTGATAATTATTTCCATCTATTAGTAATGTTATTGATTTAAATAATGTATTAATTACAACATGTTTTCATGCAACTGTCTCAAAACACCTCAGCCTCACAGCACCTCACAATCACACATTCACTAAAACAATACAGTACTACAACAAATATGCTCCATAGGCCATGTAAGGATGTATTGTAGCAGTGCCATCGCTAAAACAAAGAGAATAAGATTACGTAGACCCAATACCTTTTTGTTTTTCGATTTCAGCTAAATGCGCTTCACAAAATTGGTGATAACTCGGCTTTGCCTTAACCAATTTTTAAAATTCAAAGTTCTGCCAAACCTCATTTAAAGCTGATTAGACTAGTCTAGATCTAGTCTCTACTACAATCTAGGTAGATTCTATATTTGTAATCATTTTCACCTGAACTGAAGTGCCTAGAGTCTAGTCCAAATTCAGGTGGAAAATGCAATATATGATCATGATGATTATGATTAAAATTAGTAAACAATTGGGCTAAAATTCTCTTATTTAGAATGGATAATAAACTGCTAAAAAAAAATGTATACGCAACTACTCTAGCGCCGAGTAGCCTAGAGTCTAGTGTAGGGGGTCATTCTCCCCTTTCAGTAGAACAAGCCACCGATGCTTCGCGGTGGAGGCCGAGCAGCTCACGCCCGTGAGCTGAGCTGATCGGCCGGCCTCAGAGACGGTGTTTGTGAACGGGTGACGCGAGCCGAGATAACTCACCTTAAATTGAGGCGAGTTTTTGTCAGCTGGTGACCCTACTGTGGCAATCTTTTCTGCATGATACGACCTAGATAGTGTCTGCAAGCTCCTTCCTTTAAGTAAGGCCCTGACCATTTGTCTAGTTTTATTCAAATTCATATTGAACGTATTCCTACGGTAAGTTGGTAGGTTTTGTCTACAGATAGTTCACGTGCAATTCTGTAATATAATACAGCAGGCCTAGTGTGTGTACGTACCGGTACGTGTACGCACCATGTACACTGAGCTCTACCAGTGGAACTGAATTACGTACGTAGAGCTAGAGCAACAGCCAAAGACCTTCGATAAACAAGACATCTCAGTGAAAAGAAAGTATATCTAGGGCTAAAAACAATCACCGGCGTACTGATTGGGGGGGGGGGGGGGGGGGCTTGGGGAAGTTGACCCCCTAATAAAATTCAAACGTGGTTTATTTCTAATTCGATACCAGTGATTTACAAATGTTGCTAAAAAAAATTACATTATTTTCCGGTTTGCCCATTATGCTAGAGGCGGCACCTGGTGGGGGGGGGGGGGGGGGGGGGGGGGGGGGGGGGGGGGGGGCAGTGTGCCCCCATTTTTCCAGGTATCCCAAAGAAGCCCTTTTGTACATAGGACAAGTGCCCTTTTCTTTTCTGATTCCTTTTCCTCTCTTTTCATCTCTGGTGAGTACTTCTTTTCAGGTGCGAGAAATCCCCCTTTCACCTCTGAGTATTTTTGCCTTTTTTTCCTTTTGACTCGTGCCCATTTTCCCTTTTAATAAGTGTACTTTTTCCTTCTTAATAAGCACCCCTTCACTTTCTCTTAAATGCCACTTTTTACCTCTGAAAAGTTTCCCTTTTATTTTGACACGAGCACTTTTTCTTTTCTAATAACTGTACTTTTCCCTTTTGATAAGTGCCTACTTTTCATTTCTCCATAACATGCACCCCTAATTCAAGGCGACTTAGAGCCCCTTTTTCTTTAGTTTCCCCTAGTGCTCGCTCGCTTTTATAGATGTTATAATTATGTTACTTATAAAAGAAATTTTCAATCTTTCATCATCATCATGAGGGTTCTTTTGTTGTCTTCTTTATAAGATGTAATTTTCCGCACTGAGACCTCACAAATTTTTAAATTTTTGCTCGCTCGCTTCGCTCGCCCGAAAATTCATATTCAAACCATCTCACCCAACTGCAAAGTATATGTTGCTTAATTAAGCAGTATCTTATACCACGTAAAAAAAAAATTGATATCACCCATGGTAGTGTAATCACCATCATGACAATGTAGGGGTATATACCAAAGTAAAACAAAATTACCCCCCCCCCCCGAAAAAAAAAAAATCATAAGAAGAAAACAAAAAGAGATGGAAAAAAGGGGGGAAAGAGAGAATTTCCCTTTGTAGGTGCCCATTTTTTTCTCCAGAAAGTGCTCTTTTTTGTTGGTGCCCCCCTTCCTATTCATTTGGAAGAGCTCCGCCGCCCCTGCACCATGCTACTTGGTGGTGATAAGGATTTTGTTCTGACCCCCAAACGTTTTCGCGCATTACCCCACTGGCTACATTATTCCTCTTAGTACGACTTTGAAATTGCGTAAAATGTGACTTCTTTGAAATTTGAAGGCAATGAATACCATATACACTATAGAAAAGCTGAGGAGACTTCGCAGAATTTTGGAGCGATTTGGGTGCTTTTGACCTTCAAAAAATCCCCCAGTAGCTCAGAGGAATTAGGCATATAATAACGGTCAGCTGAGCATTCAGGGGCCCTCCTTAGGGCCCTCGGTGGGGTCCAGGGGGCGGAGCCCCCGGAAGCTCAGTTAAAAATCAAGCCATTTCAGCAACAAATAAACCACACTTGAATGTTATTTGGGGGGGTCAACATCCCCAAGGCCCCCCCTCCAAAAAAAAAAATAAATAAATAAATAAAAAATTAGTACGCCAGTGACTGACTGTGTAGATGTAAATAAGGCATGGTCAATTATGTTTTTATTTCAACTTTGAATATGATAGCGTCACTGAAACGGATTAGAATAAAACAAAGATCAGAAACTTGGGTGACTAAAGATATTCTTTCCCTAATTCAAGGGTGAAATATAGTATACAAAAAATGAGGTAAAGAGCAAAAGATTAAAACGCTCTCACCTATACAAGATACGGGTTATTAAGAAATATGGTCCAAAGAGAGGTGAAAAAGGCTAAACTCGATTACTTACAAAACAAGATAGAAGAAACAAACAAGATTCGAAAAGGCTTCGGCAGAATCTAAAAAGCTTAGGATTAAAATATAAGAAGAAACAAGAACAAGAATCTGTCATTACAATCGCTGGGGAATTATGTCTAAGATCCAGATAAGATGGCCATCGCTAAGGAATTCAATTCTTATTTCAAAAATGTTGCTGCCAAATTAGTAAACAACCCCCCCCCCCCTCCCCCTTACAAAGACCTTTTCAGTGCAGACAATGATTGTATTCGTGAGTTTTACGAAAGAAAAGGTGTAAGTGAAAACAGCTATCAAAGAGTTACGTAAATTGAATGTATCAACAAGTACTGGGTTAGACATAGCCTATAATCTAGGCGGAGTGCCGAGCTTTTTTCTTTGCTGCTAGACTAACCCTAAGCAGAACGTCTGATACGGCGAGACTACGAACCGTGAGTCGCGAAGCTAGGTTAGACATGATTCCAGCTAAATTTCTAAAAGATGGTGAGAAGTTTTTGTATAAACCTATCTATCTTGACGAGTAACTTTCCAGAGGATATGAAAATAACAAAAGTGACTCCACTTTATAAACAGAAAGATAAAACTGATGTTAGCGATTATAATTATCAAAGATTCTAGAAAAATCTGTCTGTGTTCAAATTGAAAAATACTTCAAAGAAAATGACATAATTTTATAAATTTCAATCTGGTTTTCGACATGACTATTCGACTGAAACATGTCTAATTCATTTGACTGATTATATTGAGGACAGAAACTTCCCAAGGGCGCTTTGTTGATATGGTGCCCATTGATCTGTAAAAAGCTTTTGAAACAGTGAATCATTGCGTCTTATTGAAGAAGTTACAACTAATGGATTTTATAGAGGCAAGTTTAGAGTGGTTCAGATCCTATTTGTCTAATCGACAACTATTGGCCATTCATGATATTCGTTCCAAACGAATGTCTATAACATGCGGTTTTACCCCCCCCCCCCCCCCCCCCCCCCCACACACACACACTCCGAGAACGGACGGACCCCATGCGTGTTACCAAAAGGGGTACTTTTGGTGCGACAAAGTCCGGCCCAAGAATTGTAAAAAAAAAAAAGGGTGTTTTAACTTTTCACCCGGAGATTGCTTTAAAAAGGGGGTGTTTTTTTTCTTCTCTCATCTCTTTGGACCCCTGAGAAATTATTCCGAACTTAGGGGGGTACATTGAGCATTTTTCATGATTTAGGGGGGTCTCCAAGGCAGGAAAAGCCCGCGAAAGGGGGGTTCGGAAATGTTGGCAGTCCTCAGATAGGGGGTGCTTTCAAAAAGAGGGAACAAGCATATGCGTATCCTAAATAACACTGAGTGGGGGGGGGGGGGGGGGGGGTTCCTCAGGTGAGCATATAGGCCCAATTCTATTTACAAGTTATATCAATGATACGTGTATTCAGTGGCGGATTCAGGGGGCAAGTATACCCCCCCTCCTTCCCTTCCCGTAAAAAAGGGGGGGAAGGGGAAGGGGGAAAAGAAAAAGGGAGAAAAGGAGAAAAGGGAGGGGAAAGAAAAAGGAGGGGAAAAAGAAAGTGAGAAAGAAGAAGAAAAGAGGGAGAAGAGAAAAAGGGAGAGGAGGAAAAGGTGAGCTAGGAAAGGAAGAAAGGGGAAGAGAGAGAAGAGAAAAGGCGGAAAAGGAATAAAGGGGGAAAGACGGAGGAGAGAAAAGGGGGAAAAGGAGAATAATGATAAGGGAAAAGAAAGAAAGAGGGAGGATATTATAAGAAGGTGTTTTTTTTACCGGGAGAGGGGCTGGGGGACACGCAATTTTGCAATGTGCATAATATGGGGTCCCTCTTGCCAGGCGTGTAGCCACCCCCCCCCCCCCAAAAAAAGGGGGGAAATTGAAAAATAACTTAGTTCCTCGCCCCGGGTTTATAGGGTTAAATTTGTAGATATTGGGACATTGGCATTAATATATTTGTCCGTAATTGGTGGCTAGTTTTGTCTGTAATCGGTGGCCTCTACACCCCCTCCCCCACTGAAGAAGGTCTAGCGACGCCCCTGATAGCAACACAGTTTATACACTCAAGAAAATTTTTGCAAGTACTACTGGTGAAGTACCACTGTCTTGTGCATTGTGTTCTCAAATAGCAAAAGATCCCTACAGTTGTCTACGTGTTTCGATTGGATGACTGATAATAAGCTTTATTGACACTTGGGAAAAAAAGAAAGCATTTTGTTTTGTTCTAAAAGTAGTTCTAAAAAGTCATTTGAATTCAGAGTGACACACAGTAATTAAGTAATCAAAAGAAAAGAATATGTGATGTATTTAGGCATTGAGTTGGCTAGCGCGATTTCATTTTCATCTTTAGTATAATCAGTTGTAAAAACAACAAATTCTCGTTAATTTTGTTGGTACGGATATCAAAATTGTATGGATTTAAAAGCAAGACGTATAGTTTGTTTTGCTATTATTCAATGCTAACCCTGCATGACAGGCGCGTACGCAGGGAGGAGGGTGGTTCACCCCTTAACTTTTTTATGTGTGTGTTTTGGAGGAACCCCCCCCCCTTGAGTTTTTTTAATAAAAAATAATAATAATAAAAAAATTATTACAAAACATTTTTAAAAAATTGTGGTAATGGGTGACCCAAAAAGCTGACTTCTACCCCCCCCCAACGAATCGAAACGAGACAAAAAATATGTCCTCTTACCGCACCCCACCCCACCCCCCCCCCTGTTTATCCAGCGACTGGCTGAGTCGTTGCGAAATTTTTGGGACCAAAAAAAAAAAAAAAAAATATGTCCTCTTACCCCCCCCCCCCCCCCCCCCTCGACGTGATCTTCAAATTTTAAACCCCACCCCCTCGAAAAAAATCCTGCGTACGCGCCTGCTGCACCGAGAGGTGGGGAGTCAGTGGGGGCCCAAGTACCTCAAAAGCGCCCCCTTTTACATAGGGAAAGTGCCTCTTTAACTTTGTAAAAGTGCCCCTTCCCCTTTTCACCTCTGATGGGTGGCCTTTTTATTTTGACACGTGCCCCTTTTTCTTCGACAAATTCCCATTTTACTTTGCAATAAGTGTCTATTTTCTATTCTCATAAATGCCCTTTTTAATCTCTAGCAAGTGCCCCTTTTGAGGTACGAGAAGTGCCCCTTTCAATTTTCGATTAGTGCCCCCATCACCTCCGATAATTGCCCTATTCAAATCTGAGGGATGCCCTTTTTACTTTGACAACTGCCCCTTTTCCTTTGTAAGAAGTGCCCCTTCCCTTTTTAATATATACTACCCTTTTCAGTTAACTCGGATAAGGGCACCTTTTATTGTCACATGTGCCCCTTTTCCTTTCTAATAAGTGCCCCTTTTCCTTATGATAAGTGCCCCATTAAATAAAGAGCTCCTTCCCCTTCTCATATCTGGTCAGTGCCCTTTTCATCTCTGATATTTTCCATTTTAACAAGGATACGTGCCCCTTTTCCCTTTCTAATAAGGGACCTATCCCCTTTTCATTAATGCCCCTTTTTACCTCTAATAAATGATCCTATCAAAATCTGATGGGTGCCCCTTTCCCTTCGCCAAATGCCCATTTCCCATTTCATAAGTGCCTCTTTTCATCCCTGGTGAGTGCCTCTTTTCAGGAGTGCCCCGTTTTTACCTCTGATAACTACCCTTTGTACTTTGATATGTGCTCCTTTTCTCTTCTAATAAGTGTCTTATCCCTTACGATAAGGGTCCCCTTTTCCTCTTATCATTAAACTTGCCCTAATTTAAAGGGACTTAGAGCAATTTTCCCCAAAGTTCACTCGCTACGCTCGCTCGCATTTATAGATGATATAATTATGTTACTTATCAAAGGTCTTTTCAGTCTTCCGTTGTGAGAATGTGCTTATAGCCCCATCAGGATTGGGATTTTTTTCCTCTTTAGAAGATGTACTTTTTCGCACTGAGACCTCACAAATCTTTAAAAATTTTTCCTCGCTCGCTCGCAAATGAATATTGAGACCATCACACCCATCTGCAATGTATGATGCTTAAGCAATATCTTGTATGATGTTCATGTATAAAGAGAAACAAATATAGAAATCAATGTAGGGGTATAAACCACTATCTATCACTACCACTATCAAACAAAATTGTACATTTTCGCTTTGAGATTTTCTTTGTAGGTGCCCTTTTTTCTCCAGAAAGTGCCCCTCCCACTTTGGAAGTCGCTCGGCCGCCCCTAAAGTCAGATCAAAAGAAGTTGAAAATTATACAGAACAAAATGGTGAGATTCATCAACTGTTCTGGTCCAAGAACTAATGTTGGCTACAGCGAACTTTCTAAAGCTGGTTTCTTGAAGTCAACCAAAGATCAAAACAACTTGTATCGCATCACGTGCATAAAACATATCCTACTAGGTCGAATCATTATGATTATGTTCGATCCAACTTCGATCTTATTACTGACTTACATGATTACAATAGCCGATTAAACTTTAACTTACCAGAAAGAGTAGGTACACTCTTATTTCCACAGCGTCAAATTTCACTCTAAATGGCGTCAGCTGGGAGTCAACTCTATTCCTAGTTAAAGTGACACGGAAAAGGAGTCATCTTGACTCTGAATTGAGTCAATTCTCAGCTGATGCCACAATATCCGAGTCAAATTGATTCGGAATCCGTGTCACTTTAACTAGGAAGAGAGTTGACTCCCAGCTGACGCCATTTAGAGTAAAATTTGACGCCGTGGAAATAAGAGTGTAGTATTGGACATTCGTTTTATTACATTGCCATAAAACATTGGAATTCCCTTCACTTCGCTTCCTGATATAAAAGAAATAAAAAACTTTGCTCATTTTAAGAGGAAATTAAAGGAATGCCTAACACTTGAGAGTCAGAGGAGAGAATCGAATGACATGTTATATGATTGAATACAGAATTTCTTTTTTTTCTTTTGCCGGTTCATACTTTTTAATTATGTATAAACTTATGATTTTGTACGTTATAGAATTTCAACATATTCATCATCATTTTCATCTTCTTTCTCCTCCTCCTCCTCCTCCTCTTCTTCTTCCCCTTCTTCTTTAGCTTCATGTACTTATTTTCATTTCTATCATCAGTTTAATGTTGTTATTGTTATTATCGTCATTATTATCTTTAATAAGTTTTTTTCTTATCTGTCTGTAAATATAGGATTTCTCGGTCAATTTCGTAAGTTAGCCACACAAATTCATTTTATGTTCATTCAATTTCACCGATTCTGTCACCGCAGCTGTTATTTTTCGTTCAAATTCGTTTTTTAGTATTTAATTTCATAAAACGTTCATTCAAAAACATTTTATTTTCATTCGAATTAAAACGTGAAATCCTATATTACTATTTAATTTATTAATTTTAAACATGACTTTGTATGTCGGGGACCCAGGGACGTCGTCAAAGAGGGGGGGGGGGGGTGTGGGGTGCGACACGCCCCCCCCCCCCCACCTGTCAGGATATTGTCGGTAAAATTGCGCTGCCGTCGGGAAAAAAGAAAAAAAGGGGAGGGGGAAAAAGAGAGGGAAAGGGAAAGAAAAGGAAAAAAAGAAAAGAAAGAATTTGGGAAAAGAAAGGAAAGAAAGGAAAAGAGAGGAACGAAAAGAGAAGAAAGAAAGAGAGAAAAGAAAAAGAGGGAGGAGAGGAAAGAAAGGACAAGAAAGAAAAGAAAGAAAACGAAAAAAAGAAGAAAAAAGAGTAAAAGGGAAACAAAAGAAACGGGGGATGAAAGAGAGGAGAGAGAGGGGAGGTAAGATCCTGAGAAAGAAGGAGTAGGAGTAAAAGAGTGAAGGGGGTTGTTGGGTGGAGTCGTCTCGTCGAGGGAGCAAGAAAGACATGTGTAATTATGTTGCTGTGACGGGTCAGCTGTGTCGGTATTCTTGCTCGACCTCAATGCAGAAGTTTGAAGTCGGTGAGATGTATATTGTCGGTCGGCCAACAAGTTGTTTTTTCCCTACGGACTGTGACTTTTTATCGGCTGTGACGACTTCGAGGGTGACTACAACTACAATACTCGAAGTTTCACTTTCCTATAATATCAGCTAAAGAAATCAGAGGTTTAAAATTTAAGGGGAAACTAAATTCAAACAAGGTTTAAGAGTCAACAACGGTACGACGAATCGTCTTCCTTTATCTATATTGTGATGAAACGCCAAAAATTTCGCGCTTCGCGCGGAAGGGGAAGACTTCGTTTAGACGAGTGGAGAACGGTTTAACGAATCGTCTTCTTTCTCTAATTATTTAAGGAAACATCAAAGCTTCCTCGCTTCGCGCGAGAGGGGGAAACTAAATTCAAATAAATAGGGCTTATTAAGAGTCGAAAACGATACAACGAATTGCTTCTTTCTCTAATTATTTAAGGAAACTTCAGCGCTTCTGCGCTTCGCGCGAGAGGGGAAAACTGAATTCAGATGAATAGGGCTTAATAAGAGTCGAAAACGGTACGACCAATCGTCTTCCTTTCTCTATATTGTGATGAAACGCCAAAGCTTCCGCGCTTCGAGCGAGAGGGGGAAACTGAATTCAGATAAATAGGGCTTAATAAGAGTCGAAAATGGTACGACCAATCGTCTTCCTTTCTCTATATTGTGATCAAACGCCAAAAAATTCGCGCTTCGCGCAGATTTGGAAGACTACATTAACACGAGTCGAGAACGATACAACGAATCGTCTTCTTTCTCTAATAATTTAAGGAAACGTCAAAGCTTCCGCGCTTCGCGCGGGAGGGGAAACTGAATTCAGATGAATAGGGCTCAATAAGAGTCGAAAACGGTACAACCAATCGTCTTCCTTTCTCTATATTGTGATGAAACGCCAAAGCTTCCGCGCTTCGCGCGAGAGGTGGAAACTGAATTCAGATGAATAGGGCTTAATAAGAGTCGAAAACGGTACGACCACTCGTCTTCCTTTCTCTATTATTGAGATGAAACGCCAAAAAATCCGCAAGACTTCATTTAGACGAGTCGAGAACGATACAACGAATCGTCTTCTGTCTCTAATAACTTAATGAAACGTCAAAACTTCCGCGCTTCGCGCGGGAGGTGGAGAAACTGAATTCAGACAAGGATTAACAGTCGAGAACGGTACAGCAAATCGTCTTCTTTTTATAATATTTTAATGAAACGTCAAAGCTTTCGCACTTCACGCGGGTGGGCATATCATATAATCACTCATCCCCCTAATAAGCGGGCTTCGCGCGCTTTTTAAGTGATTCGCTTGCTCACTACCGCCCCTCCCTAAAATAAGATCCTAGCTCCGCGCCTGCATTAAAATAATATATAGCTATGAATGCTGACTAAGTTGTCAAATTATTCGTTTATTTGTGTCTGTTATATATGAACTAGTTAATGAGACTACATACTCTTTAGTATAACATCTTACTAAAAGTAAGCCAAGACGGAGATGAAACGAGACAGTGTGTTCAAGTAGTTTAATCAAGTTACTGTCTGATTGTGCGCATGCGCAGATGCGCCAATACAAAACATCCCTCCCCCCTTAGACTGAAAATACATTCCATGAAACAATTGTGTGTTATCGTAAATTAACTGTATCATTGCTGGGAAACTTGTGAGTCCAAATAAAAAGTAACATGTTGATATCCGAAAACGTTCATGAGTCCAGAATGTTACGTTCCTTCGTTTGTGAACTATTCTATTTAGATTGGAATTTAAGTTCCATTTATTTAAGGGTCCTTCCTTTTAAGAGTCTTTATGGGAACCCGTAAAAATCGGGAGGGCGTCGTCCCTCACGTTGTGGGTATTTACTCCTTTCAGGTTGTTGATCGCGATCTTGATGTTCATTGCGATCCCTGTGATTGTGATCATTTTAATGGGGGTAAATCAACCGGATATTTTAAAGTTCAAAGGGGTGTAAGACAAGGAGATCCGTTATCTCCATATTTATTTATTTTATGCATAGAATGCTTAACTCACTGCATTAGAAATGATAAGTTGGTAAAAGGTATTTGTTTTGGAGAAACAGAAATAAAGATGATCTTATATGCAGATGACATGTCAATTTTTGTACGAGACATAAACTCGATTAATAGAATAGAGGTAATCATGGAAAATTTTAGGAAAATATCAGGACTAAAGATTAATGGAAATAAAACATTCATTTTACCCTTAGGATATTCTGTTGGCTCTGCGACAGTGTATCCTTTTGGAAAGGAGGCACACATTTTAAAAATACTCGGTATATATTTTACATTAGATCCCAATGTGGCGGAAGAGATGAATTACAAAGAAATATTAAGCAAAATAAAGAAATTGTTAAATTGGTGGAAACAAAGAGATCTTACTTTGATAGGAAAAATTCATTTACTGAAAACATACGCATATTCAAAACTAGTCTATGTAAGCTCTTTGACTCCAGTGCCTGAATGGGTTATAAAAGAAATCGATGAGATCTGTTTTAATTTTCTATGGCGAGGTTAAGACAAAATTAAAAAAAGTACGATGTGTTTTGATTACAAGCAAGGAGGATTAAAAATGCTCAACTTTCAACTTTTTGTGAAAGTACAAAAAGTGATGTGGATTAAAAGACTTGTAACAGGAAACCAGAGAGTTAAATGGAAAAAGTATTTCAAATTTTTAATGAGACCTTTCGGAGGAAATCTTATTTTTTTACTGTAACTATTTACCTAACAAGATCGATATACAATTACCAAAATACTATCGGGATTTAATAAACATTTGGTTAGATATGAATGATTTTATTAAAAAAGATACAACTCACAAAGGGAATGAAATTTTTTTAAATAATAGGTTTATACACAATAGTGGAAAAACATACTTCAATGAAAATCTTTTCTTAAAAAATACTTATAGATTGTACCATATTATAGATGGAAAAGGAACATTAAAGTCGGAAACTTATTTCAGATGTATGGGACTAGAGGAAGAGGAAATATCAATGCTTAAAGAAATCTATGGTAATATACCTAAGGAATGGAAAATCGAATTAACAAAGAGGCAAATTTCATTTCATAATCTAAAAATAGAATTTATGTTCACAAAAAAAACATTCCAATTTGAATCGGTTTGTTCGAAAAATCTGTACAGGGCATGCATACAAAAAATGCAAGACGTCCCTGTCAGTTTTCAGAATTTACATTCATCATACAATCTGTCGGTTAAAGAAATTGAAAAGGTTTTTAACCGACCAAGAATTAGTACTTTAGATAATAAACTAAGAGAATTTCAATTCAAATTGCTTTATAAAATTGTTTATGTCAATCGTTATTTATACAGGTTTCAATTCATATTAAGTGATAAATGCTCATTTTGTGGAAAAGAAGAGGAAACATAATTATAGGCACATATTTTTTGAATGCGAAATGGTGAGAAAATTATGGGATCAATGTAGTGATAGTTTGGATATTCCAATCCTTAAAGATATGAGCTGGAAGGAAGTTCACATTGGATTAGACGAAATAACCGAAGATAGGCAAATGATTAATCACGTGGTTTTATTAATTAAATATTTGATATTTATTAGTAGGGAAAAAAAGAAGCCTCCAAGTATTGAAGAAATAAGAGAGAAAATATTCAAAAGTAAACAGGAAGAAAGAAAGAGTGCTACTGAACGAAATACGTTGACGCTCCACTATAAAAAAATGGGAACATCTCAAGGTAAACATGGATAATATGCAAGAAAATGCAAGGGATGAGGAAAGGGGGGGGGGGGCCTGCCCGGTTCACAGCTGTGTGTGATTGACCGGTCTCGACTGCCATAGACTGCCCACGTCTTCTTGTATCGTGTTTTTTTTTTTTTTTTTTTGTTGTTTGTTTTGTTTTCTGTTTTTGTTTTGTGTTTGTTGTTGTTGGTTTTGTTTTTAACGGGGGTAGGGGATATAACAAACTTTATTTATTCGATATAACTAAGTTGATTGTAGTCTGTACTTTGTTCCAATATGTTATAAATTATAATATGTAATAGGGATACTAGTACCATAGAACAAAATATAGAGGGGGGGGGGGGGTTATAACAATATTAATTCATTCAATATAATTGAGATTACTGTATTTTGTACTCTGTAATTGGTTTCAATATGTTATATATTACAATTTGTATGAATTAATATTATTTATTGAGTGAATACAATAAAGAATATTACAACAAAACAAAAAATTGTCGAAGTGCTCGCGATCCTGGTGGTCATCGCGATGTTGATGATCCTGACGGTCATTTCCTTCACCCTCCTCAGGAAAAAGGAACTCGTCATCGGAATTCGGACGCGACGCGGAAGATTCATCCTTTTGCTGATATCGATTTCTTAAATGGTCGACATGACGTCGCCATTTTCCACCGCGGTCCTCGAGTTCGATTTCGTAGGACACCGGACCGCGTTTTTCCGTAACCGTTCCCGGTATCCAAGTGTTTCCGACGCCAAAATTTCGGGCGAAAACCAGCTCACCAGTCTGGAATTCTCGGTAAGTCTGAGGTCCGCGGTTTAGCGCGGCCGGATTTCTCAGCTTTTCGTCAACTTTCTTTTTGACGTCTGGATATACGGTATCCAGTCTGGTTCTCAACCATAGGCGCCGGAAGTGGGGGGGCAGGGGGGGCAGTTGCCCCCCCAGTCAAAAAAGTGGGGGGGCAAAACGCATTTTTGCCCCCCCAAAACGCCCCCCCCCTCCAAAAAAAAAAAAAAAAGCAGTAAAGGAATAAACATGGTTTGTATTTTTAACCCAAAAGAACATAACAATAATAAAAACCTGAATTAAAGCACATAAACCATTCCATTCAAAGAAAAGGAAAGTTCACAGGAATTAAATTTTTATAAACATTGCGCATGCTACCTATACGGTTTATAATAGCGATACGCGCATATCGTGGACATATTGTGCGAGAATGGGAAAACGTGTCTGTTTTTTTGGTTTTGTTATAGGGGTGAGAAGACATGAGCCCCTGAACGCTGGCGTACTGATGGGGGGGGGGGGGGGGTATATCTATACGATACCAGTGATTTACACATGTTGCTATTATGACATGATTTTCCGGTATTTTTTCTCCATTTTTTTTAAAGTCATACCTTTTTATGCGTTTGTTGGAAAATAAGAAATTCCCAAATTACAGTCGGGCGAAAAATACGCTTATTTAGAAGCCTTTATGACATGGTCTGCAAAGTGGCTGGGCTCGAGCCCCTCCCCCCTCACTTTTTGAAAAAGTATGTTAAAGAGAAAAAGAAAGAAAGACGGAGAGAAAAAATAAGTGACCTGCCAATGTCACAAATAAGGCATAAAAAATGCTCATCTGACCGTAATTAAATGCCTAAAACCCCAGAGCTTACGGGTGCTCCGCCCCCGGACCCCACCAAGGGCCCTAAGGCGGGCCCCTGGATGCTCATCTGACCGTAATTAAATACCTAAAACCCCTGAGCTTCCGGGGGCTCTGCCCCCTGGACCCCACCAAGGGCTCTAAGGCGGGCCCCTGGATGCTCATCTGACCGTAATTAAATACCTAAAACCCCTGAGCTTCCGGGGGCTCTGCCCCCTGGACCCCACCAAGGGCCCTATAAGGCGGGCCCCTGGATGCTCATCTGACCATTATTAAATACCTAAAACCCCTGAGCTTCCGGGGGCTCTGCCCCCTGGACCCCACCAAGGGCCCTATAAGGCGGGCCCCTGGATGCTCATCTGACGATTATTCAATACCTAAAACCCCTGAGCTTCCGGGGGCCCTGCCCCCTGGACCCCACCAAGTGCCCTAGGGCGGCCCCTGGTTGCTCATCTGACCGTAGTTAAATACCTAAAACCCCTGAGCTTCTGGGGGCTCTGCCCCCTGGACCCCACCAAGGGCCCTATAAGGCGGGCCCCTGGATGCTCATCTGACCATTATTAAATACCTAAAACCCCTGAGCTTCCGGGGGCTCTGCCCCCTGGACCCCACCAAGGGCCCTATAAGGCGGGCCCCTGGATGCTCCTCTGACGATTATTCAATACCTAAAACCCCTGAGCTTCCGGGGGCCCTGCCCCCTGGACCCCACCAAGTGCCCTAGGGCGGCCCCTGGTTGCTCATCTGACCGTAGTTAAATACCTAAAACCCCTGAGCTTCTGGGGGCTCTGCCCCCTGGACCCCACCAAGGGCCCTATAAGGCGGGCCCCTGGACGCTCATCTGACCATTATTAAATACCTAAAACCCCTGAGCTTCCGGGGGCTCTGCCCCCTGGACCCCACCAAGGGCCCTATAAGGCGGGCCCCTGGATGCTCATCTGACCATTATTCAATACCTAAAACCCCTGAGCTTCCGGGGGCCCTGCCCCCTGGACCCCACCAAGTGCCCTAGGGCGGCCCCTGGTTGCTCATCTGACCGTAGTCAAATATTAAAACCTCTGAGCTTCTGGGGGCTCCCCCCCCCCCCCTCTGGAACACGTCAATGGCCTTAAAGAGGCCCTGGATGCTCATCTAACCGTAATTAAATACCTAAAATCCCTGAGCTTCCGGGGGCTCAGCCCCTTGACACCCTGCCGAGGCTGGACCCCACGCCAATTTACGCTCTACCTGATCGTTAATACTTCACTTTGAAAAACGTTCCGCGGGACCTGCATGTAACGTGTAAGACTGGTGGTGATGCAGATTTTTCGTCTGCCCCCCCCCCCCTTCCGAACGTTTTTTCTCATTACGTCACTGCCCTCGGAAGGTGAGCCCCCTGGAATGTTTGCCCCCCCAATCCCAAACTGCTTCCGGCGCGCCTGTTCTCAACTGTCTGTTCATGAGCATGGCGGCTGGCGGCATTCCAGTGGTGGAGTGCTCTGTCGTCCGATAGGCCAGGAGGAAGCGCGATAAGCGAGTTTCGAGTTTACCTCCTGTGACTTTCTTGAGACCAGATTTCACCGTCTGTACCGCTCTTTCCGCTAGTCCGTTTGTAGCGGGGTGGTAAGGTGAACTTTTCATTATGTTTGATTCCATTTTGCGACATGAAATCTTGGAATTCCGAACTCGTGAAGGAACTTCCATTGTCGGAAACTACCACACGAGGTAGTCCATGTATCGCGAAAGTCTGTCTGAGGCGATCGATTGTTGCCAATGATGTCGCCGATGACATCTATCCATGTACGCGTCAACGATTATCAGGAGGATTTTTCCTTCGAACGGACCGGCAAAATCGATGTGAATTCTCTCCCATGGAGCACTCGGATACTCCCATGGATGTACGGGAGATCGCGGTGGAAGGCGCTGATATTGCTGACAAACGGAGCATCATACTTCACCTTCCGTTCCAGTTCAGAGTCTATTTTCGGCCACCAGACTATTCCACGCGCGATGGCTTTCATTCTTACGATTCCAGGATGTCACGTATCTCATCTAAGATCTGTTCCCGACCCTTAGTGGGGATGACGACCCGGGTACCCCACAAGACACATCAGTGGCGTACCTGGGGTACTCCGTCAGGGGGGGGGCAAGCGACCGAAACAAACAAAAAAGGCGATGCTAATTTTCACTTCTGGCGAGCGAGCAAGCAAAAAAAAATCTCGAAGTAACGTTTGGTATATAAACTGGTATTGTTGCAAGTTGGGGGTGGGAACATTCACTTGTAAGCGACGTTAATTTCATTTTTTTTGCAAACGAGCGTAGCGAGCAAGAAAAAATCACTTCTTTTTTAATAATTGCCACTTAAACTTGGTTCAATTGTCCCATGCAGGGCGCGGGAACAATATTGTGTTTAAGGTGATTTTATACCCTTCTTAGCTAGCGAGCGAAAATACATCTTTCTCTCAATTAATTGCTATATAAAATTTGTTTCATTGTTGCAGGTCGGGGGGCACAATCGTGTTTAAGGCAATGTCAATCCCATTTTGGCGGGCAGGCAACCCCCTACATTTATCTTTTTAATGATATTGTAGCAGGTTAGTGGTGGGCACATAATTCCAGGAGCTAGCGAGCAAAAAAAATCACTTCTCTTTGATAGGGAAAATATGGTACATAAAACTTGGGTTCATTGTTCCATGTCAGGGACGTGATTATTAAAAGCGGTGTTATTTCTAATTTGGCGAGCGAGCGTAGCGAGCGAGCAAAAAAAATCACTTCTCTTTTATAGGGAAAATATGGTACACAAAACTTGGGTTCATTGTTCCATGTCAGGGACGTGATTATTAAAAGCGGTGTTATTTCTATTTTGGCGAGCGAGCGTAGCGAGCGAGCAAAATTTTTGTAATGATAATTGGTTCATAAATTTCAGATTTGTTTGTTGCAGGTCAGGGCTTACACGATCATGTCTAAGGTGATGTTAATTCCGTTTTGGCGAGCACGAGCACACCAAAACTTCTTTGAAAAACGTTTGGTACATAATTATTAACTGGTTGTTGCAGGTTGGGGCGGGCACGTTAGCGGTGTCAATTCCATTTTGGCGAGCGAGCATAGCGAGCAAGCAACAAACAAAAATTAATAGAAATTAATAAATAAACTTGTTTTTATTGGTGCAGGTCAGGATGGACGCAATCGCGTTTAACGCGATTCAATTCCTTTTTGGCGAGAGGGCGAAAAAAACTCTTCCATTTTTAAGGATATTGTTGCAGGTCAAGGGTGGGCACAAATTGTTTCCAAAGCAATGTCTATTCATTTTATTCGCGAGCGAGTGTAGCGAGCGAGAAAAATGAATTAGTCTCTTTTAGTAACATTTGGTACATACATTGTGTATTATTGTTGCCATGGTTGCAGGTCGGGGCCCGTCGGGGCAGGCACAATTGTATTATAGGCAATGCTAATCCTTTTCTTTTTTCAGGGGGACGAGCAAGTGGAAACATTTAATACAAAATAGGCTAGCAAGCAGTTCGCGCCAGCGAAGAGTTTCGAATTTGTTATATCACTTATATTTTCCTATTTTCATTTGTCTTAATTTTTCAGGGCCGTATGCGGAATATTTTATGGTGGGGGAGGGGGAAAGATGCGTTAAAAGTTTTTGAAGAATCTCAAAAGTAAAAGGAGTGAAGGGAGTTCGAGCGACCGAACTGGTCATGAGGGTACTTTTGCATTTTCAAAAGTAGAATTGAAGGATTTGGTATAGGCCTATACACTACATTTTCAGGAAAAAAACTGTACGTTTTCAAAATATCTGGGGTCAACTGCCCCCCCCCCCCCCTGGTGCGTACGGCCATGGTCTTTTTTTTTTTAATTTCCCCATTATTTTCCTTTCCTTTTCTTTTCCCTTTTTCTTCCTTTTCTCTTCTTTTTCCTTTTTTCTTTCCTTTTCCTTTTTTTCTTTTTTTCTCTTTCTTTCCTTTTTTTCTTCCCTTTTCCTTTTTTCTTTTTCTTTCCTTTCCTTCCTTTTCTTTTCTTTCCCCTTTTTCTTTTTTTCCCTGGAGCCCGTCAGGGGGGGGGGGGGGCACTCTGCCCCCCCTGCCCCCCCCCCCCCCCATAGGTACGCCAGTGAGACACATCCATCTTGAACGCTGAGTTCATCTCTCCTATTGAAGTACGGCTTCAATTCTTCTGCGCAAGAATGTCCCCATCCGGACATCACATGTTTCCGGACACGTGATAAAACTCTGTCATGTGCTGTCCACTCGCGAACTCGCTTCGGTGTGACAGGGGTTCTCTGCAAGATGTTGAACATCGACAGAATTTCTGTTGGTAACTCAGGCTCGGTAAAGGTGTCCTACTTTGCCGCAACCATGTCATGCCTTTAGCCGGACAGTCGGACCCTCGATGGTTGGTGGCTCGACCACACCTATCGCATAATCTCGGGTGAGGCGACCGGTTGTCTGGGAAAGTGTCCTTGTTTGGACGGCCAGCGGTTTTCCAAACTTCGTTTACGGTGCTCGGGGCTGCCGCTCGTAAATCTGCCGAATTCTTATCCGCCAGTTCCACGGCGGTAGCGAGCTGCCACGCTTTTTCGAACGGTAGGTCTGCTTCGGCCAGTAAACGTCGCTGGATGCGATCATCGTTGACATCGCAAAACCAAACGGTCTATCAGCATGTCCTTCAGCGTGCTCTCGTATTTGCAATGTTCGGCAATATGGCGTAGCTCTGCCACATAGATACCGACTCTCCTTGTTGTCTACTATTAACAGTAAATTAACAGTAAATGATGGTTTGGGATCCTTGAGATCCGAGATCAGCTTAATTAGTTCATCAAACGTACAATCTCCCGGTTTCTTTGAAGAAGTCAAACTAGTCAATAGTTTATACATCGGAGCACCACACACACTCAAAAATATCGAAAGTTTCTTCTCGGCACTTACTATGTCCCTTACAAAAAAAATCTCTATGGTACACCATACAAACACCATAGCAAATCTACCATAGATTACCATACAAACACCATAGCAAATATACCATAGATCTACCATTCATTTACCATAGAACTAATTAAAATAATTGGGACAAATTTATTCATTTATTCAAATTAGGCCACACCTACATATTCTACCATAGAGCCACCATTCATATATACCATTCATCTACCATAGAGTCACCACTCATCTACCATAGAGCCACCATTCATCTACCATAGAGCCACCATTCATCTACCATAGAACCACCATTCATCTACCACAGAGCCACCATTCATCTACCATAGAGCCATCATTCATCTATCATAGAGCCACCATTCATCTACCATAGAGCCACCATTCATCTTCCATAGAGCCACCATTCATCTACCATAGAGCCACCATTTATCTACCATAGAGCCACCATTTATCTACCATAGAGCCACCATTCATCTACCATAGAGCCACCATTCATCTATCATAGAGCTACCATTCATCTACCATAGAGCCACCATTCATCTACCATAGAGCCACCATTCATCTACCATAGAGCCACCATTCATCTACCATAGAGCCACCATTCATCTACCATAGAGCCACCATTCATCTACCATAGAGCCACCATTCATCTACCATAGAGTCACCACTCATCTACCATAGAGCCACCATTCATCTACCATAGAGCCACCATTCATCTACCATAGAGCCATCATTCATCAACCATAGAGCCATCACCATTCATCTACCATAGAGTCACCACTCATCTACCATAGAGCCACCATTCATCTACCATAGAGCCACCATTCATCTACCATAGAGCCACCATTCATCTACCATAGAGCCACCATTCATCTACCATAGAGTCACCATTCATCTACCATAGAGCCACCATTTATCTACCATAGAGCCACCATTCATCTACCATAGAGCCACCATTCATCTACCATAGAGCCACCATTCATCTACCATTCACTACCATTCAAAATATGCAACAAAATGTTACGCTTAATTGTAGCATTTTGAAATGGTATATTCAGAATGGTAGTTTGGATCTTGATCTATGGTTAGCAGAATGGTGGCTGTAGTGCGTTCTATAGTACACAGAATGGTGACTATAATATATTGAATTTTTGAGAAATCTAAACTTAAATGTTAACTTACAATACACACATGACGCTTATTAAAAAAATGAATTGAATGAAAGTGGCAGGATGTATTTGGTTTATATCAAAAGTTGTATGCATGTATATGCTAAAAACTAAAATAAAAGGCAAGTAAAAAATATATCACATAAACATGTACACTACAAACTAAAATGAAAGGCAAGTTCGTAATTGCAACACATATTACTTGGACTTATTCTACTAAGATGTAATAAATACCCACATATATATCACCCTAGTTCCTCTAAATAATCGGCAAGTTAAAAAGAAACAACTAAAATGTCATATACAGTGTGTACGTAAACATGACTAAAATGAAAGGCAAGTTAAAAATATATAAACATGTACAATAAAAACTAAGGCACTGAGTTGCAGCACAGGATTGTTCTAAAACATTGTGGTTCAAGTCAAAGAGGTTGTATGTGAGTTCGAAGAGGAGCAGAAAAGACAAGCCTTGCTGCTCAGTTTTGGAGTCTCTGAAGGCGATCAAGGTCCCTCTGGCTGAGAACACTGAAGACCCAACCCTTTCTATACTCAAACTGTTTACATGATTTTGATAGACCCTCTGTGTCAAACAATTCATTCGCAGCAAAGTAGTGATGCATGCGTTCGTTGTAGTGACTCCATTCCTCCGCCTCCGGATGAAACTCACTGAGAGTTCCAAAAGTTGCCATTTCTACGGGAGAAATCCACAATCCTCGTCGCCAGTTGTTATATATGAACTGGTTAATGAGACTACCTACTCTTTAGTATAACATCTTACTAAAAGTAAGCCAAGACGGAGATGAAACGAGACAGGGAATCAGAGTGTGTGTTCAAGTAGTTTAATCAAATTACTGTCTGATTGTGCGCATGCGCAGATGCGCCAATAACAGTGTCGTCGTGGAAAATTACCATTTGCGCATACGCCGCGTACTTCTGATAGTCCATAGGAAAAACAATTTAGCCTTCGGCCCCGGGTTATAGGGTTAAATTTGTAGATATT